AACACAAGCAAATAATACTCGCAACATATCCAAATACTCTCAACAGAACTAAATACTCTACACAACCAAATATTCATCCACGTTCATCACTTTTTACTGTGCCTTGGAAATACTTGATTATTTGCTTGTGTTTATTTATTGAAGAAGCTTTTCTCCATTTGCATGTGCTGTATCTATTTGCATATGCGTCGGGCTCTCGGAGCCACCGTGGTATCTTCACATTGTTGGTTTGTCCAACCAACACTGCTTCACCACAAAGATACTCAATTCGCAGTTACATTAAACACAGGAAGCATCGAAGCATCACACATATTGGATTTCAGGGTATTAAGTGATTTAAGTGATTACTCTCTATGGATGTTGACTAAATACATTTTCTGACTAATTAATGCATTGATCAATCATTTCAGTGCAACATCTATGAAATAAAAATAAATATTTACCACATTTTTCTCGCAGATTGCTGCCATGTGTTGGAATCTAATCAAATCCTGAAAATGATCAAGGCCAAAAGTCAGTTTCCTTTGAAATGTGTGGGAAGCATCTGTCTCTGGCGCATGTGGAATCCGGAGAGAGAGAAAACCGTCTGCTGCGGCAACATGGCCCAAAGTACCCTAATACCAATATACATCAATCTATATGTCTCATTTTAGCACACCTCCCTTCTGCAAAACATGTTATAGTTTAAAATATTTTTCAAGCACAAATAAATATGTGTCCCTCCTGCCCTAATAAGCTTCTAGTGGCACTTTGAAATCTTTGCCAGGAAACGGAATATATTTTTCTCTTTCTGAAATGATGATGTCTTGTGTGGACAGGGAGCAGATGGTGTTATCTACCTCGTGTGTGGAAGGAGCAACAAGTGTGCAATTAAAGGCCTGAAGAGATGCCTACAGTTCAAAACAGATTTAAAAAACAATTCAGCCACATATAGCAAAAATTAAGAGTTCATTTGGAGACTTACATTTGATGCCTGGATTCCTAATATACAGAACAATGAAATGCTCATGCAGTTTAATGCAGTCAGCAATATGTGGAGTGTGTTTAAAATAACAGCATTTGCATTCACACGTAACAGTAATCATCCTTCCACAACTGCCCTTCCAGCATTTTTCACTTCACATGCTGCGGTTACACATCTTACAGAAACAGAGTAAGAATTCGAGACACCGGCTTTCAGATAAGTTCCAATGAGAAATGGCGCAACACAAGCAGTTAGCTCGCACATTTTTCTCCCATATATCCTTCAAGGGCTTCTTCTCCACGACGTGCCGTGGCGATCGGGCCACTCCTTTCTCTTACATGCGAGCAGCGGTGGCCTTGCTCCATCGTTCATTCAAGCTGAGTCAGCATCAATCACGACACTTGAATGATAGATAGGCAATCTAATAACACTATAGGAGCAAAAATAACTTCACTCGCTCAATCCTTGACCTTACGGAGGGAGCAGTCAGTTTGGTTAAAAGCCACGGCTATCACATAAAAATTGATTTTTGTCTTTTGGATCAATTGCAGTGGAAATATTTGAACTAAAATGGCCACAGAAAGCTGTCACTAATAAATAATTGCTATTGTTATGGATTTATACACCGCCTCTGCCTGCTCTACAGCGGGCCATATTTAAGAGGGTTTGTTTTTTTACTTTCCTGCAGGCTATTCTAACGGAATAAAAGACAATGCAAGCAGGTTTTCGGAACATTAAAGGAACTGCCTTTGGACGAGGAACCACCTCAGCATGTGTAGAGCCAGAGGAGACACACAATTACCATGAAACAATGGCGACTAGGGCACTGCTGAGGCACCACACAGGACACAGAGGAAGTGCTGAAACATTTAGGTCATGCCGGGTTCAAACACGTTTGCAGATACAGCAGTGTGAGACGAGGACACTTACAGAACACACAATTCTATTTAAATTTCAAGGCAAACATCCTGCCTCCAAAAGAACAGTAAATGGACTATACTTACACAACTCTTTTCTCTCAAGACGCTTTACAGTACATGCCACATTCACCTATTCACACAGCGCAACTACGTGCTGCACTCTTTCAGCAATGGACAAACCTCTTCTGAGCCACAGACGAATATATGCTTCACTAATGGTTTATTTAACTTGCTGACGGTCACGAGAAAATATTGATGGTGTAGCTGTAATTTGTACCAAGATAATAGCAGTTTGGAACCTGCATCCCCCCCCCTGTTGGACATAAACAGTAAATGTCCGCACAAGTGGGTCCAGACTTTCTTTGCAGCACATCAACACTACAATAGGCTCGTATCACCACAAGCTCTCTTGATATCTTGATCTGTGTATTCCGCTGTGCAGCGCTTTATCACTGCAACGTATTTGAACTCTTTATGTTTTATTTCCGGTTAGAATCTGTTAGAAATGTAATTAATATTCCCACTCGATAATCTGCAGTCGTTTTCTCACACACTCGCTCATTTGGTAATTATTAACAGTTGTGTTTTCACATACATCCCCTTCGGAGGATGTCAGGAGATTTACCCAGAGTTCAGTGCATGTCTGAAAGCAGCGAGTACTTTCAAAGACAATAATGAACTAATATTCCAAGATTACACTCAATTGCAAATTAGCAGCATCCCACAATTCTGCATGATGCCTCAGGTGCACATACAGCCTCCATATTCTTTTCATAGAATAATAATTTTATCATGTTAAGGACATAGCGCGAATAATTAGCAAGAGAGATGCACATGACAACGAATCCTATTTATGTCTTATGTCCTCAGTCCAAACAAATGTAAACCGCAGCTCCCAGGGTTTGATCAAACATATCAATATTCAGCTGATAAAGCCTTTAATCTGTGGCCAGGAGAATCGCACATAACTCATCCACAACAGGGAGTTTCCACTAATGATCAAAAATGACAAGGAAATATGAAGTAAATAGCTGATCAAGAATTTAAATAGGCCTCTGCATTCATAATACAGCACCCTACATAATAAGAGCTGACCTTGTTTGGTGGAGAAGTGGGAACAATTCAAAAGGAATGGAACAATGAACTGTTAGATGCATTTCTCTGATGTTCATTGTTAATTCAAGAGAATAAAGAAACCTTGGGGTTACTGTACTACTTTTACGATCACTCAGTTCAACTGTACGAGCACAAATTCAACTCAACTCAGAATTAGGTGATCACTCCGGCTGGAAGCAGCTGACTGCTTCATTTCATGTGGCATGAGTCAACACACTATTCCTGGGTGAACTTGCAACTAAGTTGGATTGTTAATGTGCAGTTATTGTTTTTTTTAATGGTATTGGAGTTATATCACTAAAGTTTCACTCTTCACTGGGGCACTATATGATTCCCTGCTCCCCCATCTGCCATTTCTACATTAAAACCTAAACCTGAGCTGTGAAATAACTGAATAAATGGATAAGACACTGTGAGGACAACAAAACAAAGAGTTTATGAAGGTGTGCTGCACAAAGTACAGTAAGAAATCAGGTAAAGTCTGTGGATTTCTAAAAGTCAGTAGGATTCTGGGAACCATGAATGTTAGATCGTGTGTCATATCTATTGAGGAGAGGTTGAGATACTTACTGATTAAGTGAAAACCTGCTGATGGCCCTAAAGGAAACATCAGGGGCTCAAAAAAGTCACTGGATGGATTTCATGGTAATCCATCCAATTACCATCCTGCTACCATGACTACAAACAAGTTGCTCTTTGAAAGGTAACGGGAACGTCAATCATGCATAGATTAATTAATAGTACGTGTAATTGGCAGAAGTAAACTGATATTCTGCGAGGAAACAATACTAACTGGAGATCATCCAAGAAAAAAAAAAATTCAGTTTTGTAATTTTTTTCATCACTTCTTTAATTAAAGATTCCATTACCAAACTGCGATAAACAGGGTTTGTGTTCATGACTTTATGACAGATGGAAGCCAAAAGGTCAAAGACACACATGAGGTTCACTGCCGAGGGATCAATCCAGAAGGAAACCCCTGTGTGTCTCTGGTCGATCCCCTCGAGAGAGACGCCACCAAAGGTTTCTTTTGAACTCGGCAAGCTACAAAGAGAGACCCCCTACTTACAGGTACTGATTCCATGAAGGCAGACAGCGCCAAGCTCGGAGACGCCCACACCTCATTCATTCACTTACAGACTCCCAGGAGTCCATTCACCAACAGGCACTGTGGGGACAAAACTAATTTAACATTCGACTAAATATATTTAGTCAATAAACGCCTGCTGACTCGGTAACTGTGCAGTGACAGAGAACCACTCGTTAAGCTCGTAACTAAATAATCACACAGAGGAAAAGACAAAACAGGCAACGGTGAAATACTAAGTAAAGTGTCGATAATCAAATGAAAAAGTAGACTTAGAAACACTTAAACCACCTGTTAGGCACATTCAGGGAGCTGCCATTTATGACGCTGTGTAATTTGGTGCAGAATTTAAGCTGTTGCCTTGGCTGAGGTATGTGCTCTACTGAGTGCCATTCGTGTTAACATATAAACATCATCTTTTTTAATATCGTGAATCCAATGTCATATAAAATTGTGCCCCAAGAACATTTCATATGCCAACAAATACCACATGTATGTTGCTTAAAAAAACCTACAAATTCATCTCCTGTGTACAAACCTCTGAGACGTCTGTCGAGCAGCTTCTTCTTCTTCCTGATGCAAATGAAGCTGTGTGTTGTCCGACAGTGAAAGCACACAGGAGCCCCACTGCCTGACTCGTGCCTCTGACTGGATGTTCTGTGATCTACTCTTTACTTAATGAGGTGCCATGTACAGTTTATATAAAAGGTATGACCTTATTAAACTGTGAGTGAAAGGGTGAGGTGATAGCCGGAGGAAGATAAATGGCGAGGCTGTAGGAAACCCATTTAGCCTGTTACATCCGTGGGACAAGACGCCGTCTCTTGATTGTTCAAAGATGTATCACTGACATCTGGGGCTCCATTCAAATGGTGCTATAGAATATAATAGATTTTTTATATTTAAACTGATTCATTTTTATTAAATTGGTTTGAAACAACACAAAAATTCTTCATATTCATTCAGGAGTAGATATTTCACAATTATTAGAAACAGATTTTACACTGAAATCATATGCAACAAACAAACCAAATGATGATTTCTACTCCAACTGATTCTTTTGAATCATACAAACCAAAAAAACAATTTATTCATGGATCCACGATCACATCTAGAATGTTGCTATAAATGTAGAAGGTAAGAGATTACTTCACCGAGAGCCAGGCTGCTTTTTAAATCAGCTTTCCAGAGTCCGCTCCAAGCTTTCTGATCCCCGCTCTTGTTATTCTTTTCCTTTAACTCGATTTCTGACAGCCAATTCAATTAGGCTGGATATGTGTGGGTGTAAAAAAAGGCAACATGACAAAGTCTGAAGATGGATGGCAACCTTTGCTTCACCATTAAAATCACAATTGCGTCGTATTGAAGCTCAATACATTGGCGTATTACCAGCAGCGGCAAAATGAACACAGCTTGGACTCCAGCGACAACAGGGTCATAACTAATCAACTCCTGCATTTCAGTTGTTGTTCTTTCAAAAGGATCTGCACGCCAGATTTTCAAATTATGGTGAAAATCTAAAATAAAGCTTAAATAAGAGTGAGAATATTTCAGTTCCGTGTTTCACTTTCTGAAGATAAGGCGCGGTGACTCATCAGCCACCTGACCTTAACGGCAGTCTGTGGGGACATGTTGTCTGGCAGAGCGCCTGTCGGACTCATCGGGTGCCAGGGAGGGGCTGACCTGTTGGTAGATGAAGGAGTAGAGGCTGACGTCAGGGCGCCGGCCGAGGCAGCTCCTGCACACTGAGCTGTAGTACTGCCCCAGGAGATCGTACACCTCCCCTGTGAGGGAGACAAGGACACTGTATGTTGTCTCCATAGTGAACTGATATGAAAGCAAGGAAAAGGTTAACAACATTGTTTTCTTACCATCAATAATTAACCATATTCTTGTGCCATGACTTTATATGATTTACAAATAAATCTGAAAATGAGGTACAACTCAAAAATAAAAAAATAAAGAAGGATAGATAAATAATGTATGTTCATGTAAGAAAGGCATGAACACAGCTGCAACAAGAAGCCGACAGGATGGTTGTTTGCCTCACCGACACTGATGTTCCTCTGAGTGAGGAAAGAGTGCATGTTGTGGACATCTGTCATGAGCTGGCTGTCACCAAAGGTGAAATAGGCAACATCTCGGCCCGCCTCAGCAGCTGCCAGCATCTGGAGCAGAGCTGCAGGAAAAGAAGCCTTCGTTAAACTTCGACAGCGAGAGTGGCACAAAAGTAGTTTCAATGGAGTAGAAGTATTGGTCTTTACTGCGTTGAAACATTGGTTTATATTTCCCACAGTCAAGTTTCAAGAGTCATCCAGTAGCTGATGGATGCTACAATTAAGAGTGAGTGGCACTAGTCTGTGCAGTAAAAGGTAAATACTTGAGGGAATAGGTCTGACCCCCACTGAGAACTGTGGATTAGTTACAAAGAGAAGCCAGGTCTGGCCCCAGAGAGCTGTGAATATTTTAAGAGACTGGAAATATGTCCGCTGATTAATGAAGGTTGGGACAGTGGCAAGTTAATGAGAAAAACTGAGTCAACAATTTCAGAAAAGGGGGCTAAGCCGAATGCGTCTGCACTTCAGCAGTTTCCATCCCCTGTTCCGTTACAGCCACTTTCTTCATAACGTTATCTGACAATTAAAAAATAGGTGGACTACATGAGGCCACAGGAACTAAACCCAGGAGGAAAACTGCATCTGAATCATGATAGCTCTTCCCAGGTGGCGTGTCATTAGGCAGACAGTAGGGGATTGTGCCTATGGAGGGCTGTACCTTGCTCCACCTAATTAACAAATATGTAGGGATGTAGGTATAAGTCAAGCGGAAAGGGAGAAGCGGAGGTGCCACTGCAAACGGTTAGCATAAACTCTCCTTAGGCTCCCTGCTCAGTGACAGTGATACAAGGCTTAGACAAAGTGCTGTAACAGACTGATGGACTCGAGCAGCCGATCAATTTCACTATTAATGAAACATATTAACTTTGTCACTTGATCAATAAAAGGAAGGCGACGAGTAGGCTTTAAGTGAAAGGATGCGTTCCCTGGAGACAAATGGATGGCCACACTAGTCTGCTTTCAATCTGAAATTTATTCCGTTATAACAAGGAACAGAGTCTGCGTAGACTGTTAAGAGAGCAAAGATGATTGGAGCACGTTTCTCTCGAGACCTGGTGACGAAAGTGCTGCGTCAGAGCGTTACCTTTAAGACGCTTGTCACCTCCAAAAACGCCACAGCCCCAGTTTCCTGTTGCCACTGCTGCGAGGTATTGGCTTTGTTCCTCAGGGCGAGCAAAGCCACAGTAGGCCTAAATGATGACAGAGTAAAGAGATGTTAAGGAAGCAAATTAGGAAATGTAAATACGAAGAAAAACACAATTTGATAAAATAGGACATGTGTTTTTAGCAGACACGGTGAAGATAAATTCAAGGAAATAAAAACACTGTGAAAAGTTTGCTGTGTGGGAAATCATTCATTATTCTCTACTCAGATTTTGTACATCTATGAATGTTAAATATGTTGTATCATGCATGTTAAAGTATATTTATACATCATTTGTTACACAAAGCCTGAATCAGCTCTGACGAGCCTCAGGTCTCAGGATCACCAAACAGATCACTGGTACGTTTCATACAAGCCAGGCCTGAAGAACACAACCTCTACATAACGTCACATACAAATGGAATATAGAAAAGCCAGTAACAAAGTAATTCCATTTGCCTGCAGGCCAGTGCTTGACATATAATTTGCTGAATGAACACGCAGGTTGATGGGCCTGAAATAAACATGCATTTTTTTTACATTATGTCATTTGGCAACTTCACACCTCTTCCTACAGTTTAAGTGCCACTGGTTTGAAATCTGCGTGGGTTTTTCATATTGAAAATTGCACATTATGGACAAATCCACGTGCATGACCGGGAGCACTTCACATGACATGTCAAGTGGGTTATCACACATGTCAAATAATGGATGTGTTAAACGAAAGATCTCGAAGGGCTCTGGACATTCATTTTCACATTGGAGATGAGGTAAATTGTGAAAATGAATTGTATGGGCCCATCCTCCCCCCGACCAGTCATAAATTCCTGCTGTGAAAGGGCAGACATGACAGTTAGCTAAACAACAATTGAAAAAAAGGGATTGATCTTCATGTAGGTGCATTCCTCACACCCCTGTCAGAGTTGTCAAACTCCTCCATGCTTTCTGACGGCAGACTTGACAACATTAACATCTTGATTTTTTATTACAGATGAGCAGCTCTGACTGGGAGACAGCACATGTGGAGGGATTCCTATGTTTAGAAAATCTGTTGTGTTCATCTAGTGATTGTGATTAATCGTTCAGGGGTCAATTACGTTCATTGAAATTAATTCTGGGCCTAATGAATAAAATGAAGCTTATTCTCTACATATATGACAATCTATCAGTCTGTATTACAAACATATGACACATCTATAACTCACAGGGTTACTTTGAGAAAAGTAAACATCAGTCAATGTCTCAGCTGACATTTGTGATAAAACCGTTTTCCGATTATCAGCTAAATGGATTCACATGGAAATCATGAAATCTCTAATCATGAAGTGAAATCACAAATAAATTCGAAACATGACAATACTGCAGCAGAAAGAAACAAGACTATGGGTAACATCAATAAGTGGTGGTAGATAACCCCCCCCCCCCACACTTCCACTGCCATAAAATTAAACAAACTTAATTTGTCTACAAATTAAAAACAAATGCGCTTAGAGCAGATTTTGCCACAAAGCCACAAGAACCAGTTTTCCAGTGAGCTGGCATTTGTTGGTCAAACGTCTTCTATCTACAGCCTCTAGATGATGTAACCCAGTATTTATATTTTCTAACATGCAGAGTAAAGGAATTCACAGAAATACAAGAAACAAACAAACAATAAAAAAAAATAATAAAGCAGGAAAATCAGATTCAAAGGAAAAAATGAAAACTTACCTTATTGAGTTCTCGGTTGATTTTCTCTAGTCTAAATTGTTCCAGAAAGTTCTTGTAATGCAGCGCATCAATGGCGACAATCTCTGTGCATCTTCTCTGCCAGCCATCTCTGAAACAAAGCAACGGGACAGTTTCGCAGTGTTTTATATAAAAAACAACAACTTCGCTCTAGTCGAATTGGGCAATTATTTCTCAAAGCTACACACCCACGTAAGAAATAGGAAGCTGTACAAATAAAACCAGACAAGCAGTAAAAACATACTTTGGTCGATTGAAAGCCATTTCTGCATTCAGTGTAAATTTTCCATTTCCAAAAGGATAATTCACATAATATTTAAAGGTACTGTAGTGCTTTGATTGGTACTATAATGTACTCATAATGACAATGACAGGTTGCTGTGATTATCATCTTAATGTACTTAGATAGGATGCTAGCATTTTCTAATTAGAATTGAACAATAAGTAATGTCATTAATGAACTGGTATTTGCTCATAACTGTCAAAGTCAGAAAGATTTATTAACCATGAATATTTTGGTGGCAACCCATCCTATAGTTGTAGAGCTGCTGAGACTAAATTGTTGGACCAACCAGAAGAGATTGTTTTTCTTGAATCAGGCTGTTGAGGTGGCTCAAATAATTCCAGGAAAGGTGTTAAACATATAAGTGAGCTCAGGCTCCATAAATACCTTGGAGTTGTGTCTTGATGGCTGCCGGCCCATTTGTAGGTCTGAGCGTAGCCCGTGTATTTGCTGTACTGCTGTGTACCTGGTAATAACAAACACGGACATTAATCACACGCCACTGCAAAACATTAACGTATTAATCTTCATTATAAACATGGTCAGAATTAAAGAGCACTTCCATCTGTACTTGTGTAGCAAAGCTCAAATGGCAGGTATAGTTACATTGCATTAACAGGCATATAAACTCCCCTTGAGCTATTAATTTTGTTATATTGAACAATGGTTGAAGGGAAATGACAAAAGGATTTCAATTGTGGTTTAACTAATGAAAATCAATATGTTTAGATTTGACAGAGATTAATAAATTCTAATATGACTCTCATTGATACAGAATAACTGGTAGAAATGTTATGCTAGAAAGACTGTGTGGCACATAACATATAGGTTAAACATTCACTTATACCAAACAGAAAGAAAGGGAATTTTCTAAAATGGCTCACCCTGTGAAAATTGAACAATAAAAATGTATTACAAAAGAGTTTTTTCAGAGGGTGTGTCTGTGGTTTTTCTGCTGTCTGTGATTGGACTATACAGGAGCAGCTGTCTTCTGACAAGCGTAAGGTCAACTTATTGCCCCCCTTAAAATGACATGAGAGGCAGCGACTGACTACCAGCCTGGGGAGGAGGGGGGGACTTAACACCATTAAAAATGGGAGCAGGAGGTGGGGGAGGCAACAACATAGTCAAACAAATGAGGCCACAAATTAACTTCCCAGTCATTAGCATTAATTAGTACCTGGCTGTCAAGAGCACTCGCTGAGCTGCTTCACGCTGCAAAGTGAATAAACCAAGGGATTAATAGTGTGGTGTTGGTGAGCAGGTATTCAGAGATACAGATGGGGGGAGGGAATCTATACAGTGCTCTCCACTTGACAGGATTTCACTGATATTCAGCCTCCATCTCGTTTCTTTTTAAAGTGAAAAGCTAAATTGCAGCCTGAATACTACACAGAAGTACCTCGTCTAGTTCACCGGTTAAACGGAAGAGATGAGCAAAAACTGAATGGGTCGCATGTGGAGTGTGGGCTGAGGGTCAATCATTATGACTGTCAGACATCAACTATTGACCCAACCTCAATTTCAACCTGCACCCACATGGTATCTACATTAATACGTACATACATTTATATGAAAGCTCTTAGGTTATTAGTACAGTATAATGTATGGACTAAAAAATATTACTTTATGTATAAAACATTAAAGTGATGTTTAAATTAGAACTAAGAATGGAAAGCGTGTCAGGTTCACAGTGAGATAACCCTGCCAGCCTAAAACCAGAGCATTAACCATGCATACACCTGACCTTTACTGGTTCTCCAAAAATATTAAACTCTGTCATCAACTGTATTTGCATTTGAAAGAAACAACCTTCAGGAACAACATAAATTATCCTTTTGATTTTTTTATGCAACCCATTTGCTATTTACATATCATTTGTGGATGGAAGCAGATAAATCTTGGCCAGGGAAAGATGTGTCTAGTTATTATAAGTTATTAAACAAAAAGGGTTTCACAAAAATCTATGGGTACAATTCACAATGTTCCTAAAGGTTGTTTCATTCATGTGTAAATTCATCTAAACAAACACACCTCATATTTGTGGTGGACCAGAAACTGTAAAAGGTCAGAATCGCCTCTCATCACTTGGTAAAACTGAGCAACTGAAGAAGTTGTATTGCTGTAACATTGTCAAGTTCTGCAGGGTTCCCTCACTTTTGTTAAAACATCAAATTCAAGGACTTTCAAAGCCCAATCTTTGAGTTTGAGATAAAGACTAAGATTGTTTGGCAGGTAACACAAAGCAAGATTTTGTGCAGTGTCAAGAAATAATGTCCCTACATCACTATCTCCTTGTGTTGAGCCTCTCTGGTCGTTACTTCCATCAATGAATCACACAACTTATCCTTGATACTATTTATACTTTTGACCACCCCCGACAATGGCCAGATACCAAGCAATCAAGGCAAATTCAATTAGGCCTGGGCACTTTTGCAAATTTCACTGCAGGGGTAAGATCCATTAGCTTCTCTTACTGTATGGCCATGTGGTAAATTATATCCCCTGTGATATGTTTTGGCAAAGTGCAGCAAAGACTTGGACTTTTACAACGGGGCAGAGGAGATACGGGCAGGGTTTAATAAAGATGATGGAATGGAAGAGTCCATTAGTGGAGCAGGTCCTGGGCAGGTCTTCCAGCTATAATTAATTCTCGGCCCGAGTAATAACGTTAAGTGGCGCAAGAGGACGCGAGGGAGAGATGGCCGGCAAGGAGTCTGAAGGTGACTCCGGCAAAGCGAGAAGTGCTACAGCAGTATGATTGGTGATCGGGAGGGCGGAGGCTCTGTTGCCTCATTTCTTCTTCCGATCCAACTCACCCATTAAGCAGTAAAAGGTTTCTCATATCTTTATGGGTGATGGGTGTTTGCTACATAAGAATGGTTCCAGTTATGGAACAGAACATAGTATAATAATATATCAGGGACCTGGGGATACAAATGGCTGCAATGTCCCAGTCTGGGACAAAGACATGGCCAATGAAAATGATTGTTTCTGAAACCAATTATTTCATTTGTACCGAGTGAAATGATTGGCTGGCGCACTTGTCTGTCACCAATTGACCTGCCTGCCTGTGCACACCGTGTCTCATGACCGCACTCTTCAGCCAAGGAAATACAAATATATAATACTGAAGCAGAGACGATCATCTGACGCAAGATAGCAAGTCACGGAAAAGTTGGCTTAGCAGTTGTAAGGCATGGTGCTTTGACAGAAGGAGCCGTGTGAGGGGGTGGGATGAATCGTTTGCATGTTTTTTTAGGGTGCTTGAGGTCAGCAGAAATAAGCTGCAAACACAAACTATCACACATGGATTTAAATCATTGTCCACTAAAATAACACATATTCAGACACTGCATATTTATGAAGGGTTTCCTATGTATATTTAAGCAGTAATCGTGATTTTTCACAACCGAGCTGTAAAATTCATACATTACGGGTTTATATTATTATTAGTAGTATTATTACATTAAATATGAAAATTGGACTTGTTTGGTCCTCTTGCTTCTTTATGTAACACAATCAAGCAGTCACAATAAATATAGACAGTGTTGAATTAAAATAAAAAAAAGCCAGACAGGCACCATCAGCCTCCTGCTGGGACTCCCTAGGGCTAGCTCTTGCTCCTGGGTCTGCTGGCCTGTCCTAATCTTGTTGAAGCACTCAAAAGCTAATAGACAGTCAGTTGGAATTACTTAACAGAAAGACCCAACAGAGCAATCAGGGAAGCCCACTCTCAAACTCTCGACTGAAGCAGCCAATCAAAAGGAAACGAGCGACAATAACAGACATAGAAAAAAAAAATATCCCTCAGTGTCTTTCTGAGCCAGGATGGGGTAAACTGAACATCTGCAATGTGTACTCCATGCTGTGTGTGACAAGAAACACTCAACACGCACTGTGTTTCTTCTGTCAAATTATAGGTCAAGCATTAGAAAAGTAAACTGGACGCCTTAGTGATCGTACCAGGATCAACTGAACAACTGAAGAGTGGAATTCCTTCTGTGAAAATTAAGGTTAAACAAGGTGTGAGCGAATTTTTGATCACTGACCTGTGATGATCAAACATTCATTATGGTCCAGGGCTTCAGTGAAGAGGCGAGAAACTATGAGCTCTGGATTGATCAGAAAACGGATTTCCTCTTGAACCAGACCAGAACTGGTGACGCCTCCTCCCACAAATTGATTGGCAAAATCCACCTGCAAATCGAGACAAATGAATGACAATAAATCGTATGGACCAGCAATGCATTTGAAACATCTACTGATTGCATTTATGCTTATGAAATGCAACAGCAAACAACAAATCCAGGTGAAACTAACTTAAGGTTTTCTTTGACTATGAAATGTATTGCTTCCCTTTTGGACATCAGGATGAAAACACCTTGTGAAAGGGTCTCAGCCTTTTTTCTTTTATTTGTGACTGAGTCCCAGACAAGCTGATTGGGAAGGTGGCCTGAGGTGCTCACATTACTCAGACATCTGTCCCCCATGCCAAAATGAGTTCCACTCAGGGGCAGCACTTCAGTGTGTTGCTGCCAGTAGCAAATATCAAAACAAGAGTGCAAGCCCACAATCCAAAGTAAACATCTCTCTCCAGTCATAACACGCTCCTGAAGTGACTTCTGACTGATGCCTGTGATATCTTGTGCTGCTTGCGTTCTTTCAGGTCTGTGCATAGATCTATTGGTGACACGGACTTACTCATATATTTTGGTCTATTTATGATTCAAAGGAAAATATGCATCTCATGGTTTCATCTCATGTACGTGACGACTCATTGTTTTAGTCAGAAAGCAGCCACGTGGAACATACATATAATCCAATTTCAGGGCTGACAGTTGTTGCTCACTGGCGTGTAGAAGAGCGCTGATCAACCCCATCGCAACCTCAGGAAGACGCTGCAAATGGGCGAGCATTGTGAGAGCAGATCTCCCAAAACTGGTCACTCATCTCTGGGACAGCAAGCCAGCCTCAGAAGTCTGCTTTGACAGGTTGTCAGCACCCCCCCACCCCCCACCCCAGCAGAGCATCCATCAATCCAGGCCACAGTTTGCCCCGGAGCTGGTCATGTGTGCACATCAACTGTCAGCTTGTGGCAACTGAAGGAAGACAAAAGGTGAAAGGCAAAGCGGGCCGTCCTGACAGTGCACAGGAAGTGGGGCCGACACATTGAACGGGGGAGGCTCAGAGGCCTCGACCCCAGTCCCAGCGCACACTCCCTCAAAGGCCTTTTCAGCAGTAGTAAGCAATCTGGGTGAAAGACTCCAGAATGAGGTGGCTCAGTGACTGACTACAACAGAGGCAGGAGAGGACGGGAACCAAATACAGGCAGGGAGGAGTTATTCTCAAACTAACAGCTCAGACAAGCAAAACAATAGAACTCTGCAAATTACAGCAAATTATCATGATCAAGATATTCCCTATGTGTCTTACCTGAAGCATTCCATAACCATCATCCTCAATGGTTCCTTCACACGTGATGTGGAGCTTTGTGAGGTGAGTCTGTGAGCTGAAACAAAGATGAGATGATGGATTTTTAATTGCTTCCAACCAGTCTACTGGATTTAGCCAACTGGCAGATTACAAACTACCACTTCTAATAATAACAATAATGTTTGAGGTTTTAATTACAGTATCAATATAATCACCTTTTCCATTTAGGGGGGTTATCCAAACTTTGTCGTGTGAATGTTACGAGTCCAACAGGCTCTGAAAAGAAAAAAAAACCCATTAGAGTACATTACTGCAATAATTGAAATTACACATGAAAACTAAATCCAAACACCTACTTTGCTCAGTGACACTTTTGAAATAACACAGCAGGGTTTTCAGCTTCTCAATCTTCTTTGAAGAGCATCCTTCAAACAGTCTGCAGATAAAGAATAATGAGGGGTTTCATTAAATCCTGAAATTTGATATTATCCTTCTTACATGACAATGAAAGCATAGTTTTTAGGCAAGAAGGTTATACCTGGAAACTCTTACAATCAAAAAAATACAGCAAAGACCTGGAAAAATGACTCTCTAAACAACCAGTACCATAGAGGCACAAGACCTCCACTTTGGCCATGTGAGTTCAGTCATGCTTAAAGTCCAACTCAAACAACTGGATATAAATTAGTTCATCCCTCACTCAGCTTCTCTTTCAGTCACTTGCCGATTATGTAGGCGCTCCTTCACTGTTACGACAATGGAGTTGCCCCAGGCTTGCCATCACCAAGTCACACTCATGTGCCACATCACAGCACTCACATAAAAAAGGAGCAGAGAGGGTAACAGGGCTTCCTCCTTGGGGATACATTAAGAAGCCCTGTGTCCCTTTTAAGCAACAGAGTCCTCATGAGGCAAAAGGTCAGTCCCCCTGAAAAGTAACACACAAACACACACAAAAAAAGCTGCTGGTAGTGAGTTGCAGATTGCGGTTTGTATGCACTTTCAGAATTTAGACCAACATCTCCCCCTCGAGCAAATTCTAGAAGGAGCCTCACCGCCCGCCCACAGTAAAGAATAAGTAATTTCATGTGAGTGAAACAATGATAAAAAGCTTGATGCACCAAGGGCCCTGCAGGGGCAGAGAAACCCATTCATCGAAGTCAATTCCTGCATTCATTTTTCTTTTTGTCAATGTGGCCCCTGCAAACAATTATACGTTGTGTAGTCCTCAGGGAAAACTGCCTTTGACATAAGCTGGCCACTATGTGAGAGGAGGCTTTTAGGAAAAAGTCACATCACGGTCTTTGGGGAATACAGAATTAATACACAATATTATATAACATCAATATACCCCCACAGATGTGCAGAAAGTAGTGATGTAACTCAGAAAACTTTGAATGACAGAACCAAAGAACAAAGAAGCAAAAAACAGACGATCTTTCCAGTTTTATCTCAATGCAAATAAGAAATCTGCATTGAGATAAAAGAACATCTGCAGATAAAAGTTTGTTTTTATCCTTTACCGAGAGCGTCTGTAGGAAATAATGAAGAACAGAGAAGAAAAGAGTGTGAACGCCACAGAATGTAATAAAAAGGAAATAAATGAATAGAAAGTTTTAATGCATTAAATATCTGCTGCACGGGAAATTGGTGATTCAGGAGTTACCGTCAGGCTAAAAAAGACAACACTGGCTTTCCTGTCACATCACAGCAAAACCTTTACGTGAATGAAATACTGATGCGATTGAACTCTGTCACAGTCTTCTGCAAAAACAGCCAATGGCCTTCTCCGTTGTCGTAAGCAGCCATCTGAGTCAATGTTAATCTAATTCCTTGCTCCATTTAGGTAATTACACTATGATGCCAACAGAGATGGGGGACATGGCGGAGAGGTGATCTGCAGACTGATTTTGCATTACAGCACATAGACAATCTCCACAGTGGAAGTTTGCAGGGAAGAAAAAAAGAACGCCCTTCAGCTGTCCTGTTTGTCATACTTGACCATTTTGAAAGAAAGGCATTTACCTGTGAACTGCATATGTAGAGAAAGAATGACAAGCAAATACTGTTTCAATCAGCAGAATAAACAAATGAATGTGAAATATATCCAAATTTATCTGTATATAAGGAGGCAGGGATGGTTACCTTAGTTTAAACACTAGAAATCTCAGCTTTGACCTTAAAAAATGGTTATAATGAAATTGACCTGCTAATTTTGACCTTTTCTCAATAAGCTGTGCAAAACAATGCATCCTTCTTTGAGACAGAATGAACAGCTATGGTTAATAATCTCAATTGCAATTGCATTAATTGGGCAGGAAGAGGAGATTAAAAGAAAGGTCTGCACTGTGCATAATCTGTTGATTACACTATGACAAAGGGTGGTGGCTCCTAAGTGATGTGGTTTATAAAAAAAAAAAAACCAGTAGTGCCCCCTCTTGGAAACAAAGCTTGTCATCACAGCAGTATCTTTTTAGATTATGTAACTTTAAGCCTTATGAGTCAGCATCGCCTTGCAACTTTACCTGACAAAGTTGATGTCTGGGTAGTTGTAGTACTCGGTCCTTCTAGAGTTGCGTCGCGGGAAAGTGCAGAAGAAGGCATTGGTGAGCAGACATGCCACCTGCTCCTGAGACATCGTGATGGAGTGGTTCATGCCTCTCTTGAGGAGGGGTATCGGCTGGAGGAGGAACAGAGGTACAACGGAGGAAGGTCAAAATCATTTGTTTTGTCAATTTGTTCAACGAGACGCTGAAGTACATTGCATAAACGCACTAATTCTGTACCACTCTGCACTTCTTGAATCAGTCATCATAATTACAATCAAGGTCTGTTGCTGCACACATGATCCATGATTCCTAAAAAGCTTACGGATTTAATAAAGAATTCAAATAATAAAAAGTCAAAAATGACCAAGAGAGCACAGATGTGAGAATCCTTTTTCTTTAAAATTAATTAATTTTTCTCCTTTCTTTCCAAAAAAGATGGGGTTTTTTATACAATCAATGAAATTTTTACTATATTGATTTCTGGCAAGCTCGCAATCAATTAAAGAGAAACATTTTTCTCTGCTTTATGTGTAGATTCAGTTTAATTTTGATGGTGTACAACACAATTTGACACGTGCATTCATAAATAATGTTTGAGCTGTTTACTTGGGAAATATTTTCACTTGTGTGTGGGCCACTTAAGGGGTGTTACTTGATCAAAACTAAAAAGAGTAACACACAGATGCTAAAATTAGATGATTAGCTGTTTGGCTAAATGAATACACAGGAACCTTTCTAATGAGACTTTTACAGCTATGTCTTTGTGCCAAAAAAACAGATGGACGAAAGCACATTAAACATCTGATAAATGACCATCAACACCTACGTGCCTTGACCTCACCAGTTTTACTACCATTTCAGGAGATTATTTCTCATGTTGCGACCCTTGGGGTTAACCTGCTGCGGTGATCTACTATGTCACAGACCAGCGAGTCGGTGTCCATTTGTTAGTGATGTCTGTTACCTTGGTGCAGAGCTCAGATGCTCTCAGTGCTAATTGCACCATGTCTGGCAGCAGGGAGTCAAACAGATGTTCAGCAGTGTCGTGCTTCAGGACCTTGGAGAGAGCGAGAGATCTGTTTGTTGTTTTGCCATAAAACTCAGCTGTGACATTATTAGCTGTTTGGACTAAGAAGTTGGATATGGACGGATACAATTTACAGCTGTGGTCCCCTTTAAAAATGTTTGAATAGTATCTAACATTATACAGAATAAGAAGTATTAAGGAAATATAAGCAATGCATAATATTAGAGGCCAATACCCTCTTACAACTATTCAACTGCAAACTATTACTTCATAATATTCAACCATTTAAAGGGGAACTTGAAAGCTATGGCTTCATATTTCTAAAAATAAAACATCAGCCTTTAGTTGGACAGTTCATCTATAATAATATCCCCAGAACCAAATATTAAAATACCTACCATCCATGACTCCACAACACACCTTAAGTGCAAAAACATATCTGAAACAATATACTACGGTACCCCTATTTACACCCATGTTGGATACAAAATGTCAGAATGATCAATCACAGAGCAATTTCATCAAGGTTGCAGGATGACGCCAGCTGATTAAACAGTCTTCCTGAACAGATGCAAACAACTGAGGATTGGAATAGAAAAGACAGTGTGTTCACAGGATAAGGAGCCTTGGCTTGTGATTTAGCCCAGGACATTTATATTAAGGCAAAGGAAGCCTGACTAAACACTGTCATAAGTAATGACCTGGTTGACATCATAAACTGCTCCTATGGGCGTAATAAATGAAGGGGGCTGACAGGGCGAGACGGTGGATATAGCTGAAGTAGTAGAAGCCGACCTCTTTAAATCAGCTGAAGACAGTGCATCAAATCAACTGATCTGACTCTCTGTATGACATGATACAGGTCTGTACATCACACCGAACTGACAAAGTAATCAAGCAAGATGTGGGGGTGTGGACAGTGAGAAACCAAAGGGCCCCTATAGATTTAACACAACTGCCTAAAGCTCCTGTTCCTTCTCCCCACAGGTCCGACGCAATAAACCAATCTGATTCACTGCATCTGTGGACGTGTAGAAAATAAAACAGTCGCGAGCTCGTAACCATAAATACAGCACTGGTTTGGCTGAAGAAAGAGACATGAGCAAAAAGTGAGGCTGTCCGTCAACGGCTTTTCAGATATTCATAAGGTGCGAGTGCTCAGATGAATATTCGATGAAGGTGCCCGGCCCGTCACTCTATGCCATTCATGTCTAGTTTTCTCTGACACTCAAAATCTTCCTGCTACAGTGACTCCAATCTGGGATCTCAGGGGGGAGAGAAACAAAGTGCAAAATGGGGGACAAAACATTGCATTGTCTCCCGTTTTACAAACATGTAAGATCCCGTTTTTAAAATTAAATGTGTTTCAATCACCAACACCATATTCAGTGGGCAAATTTCTATCACTGCATTACCAATGCTAATCATGTAGCTTGGTTGGTACTTCGGAATTTTAGTCCACTTAAACACAGGTTCATTACTCAGTTGAGCTGTGAATAAATCCTGTAATGGATGGAGGCAATAAACTATCTTGAGTAAGAGGAAGTGTGTTTCAACATTTGAATAATATATTGTATAAAGAAAGCAAATGTATTTCATGTGAGCAACAATAACAGATTGCTGACTCCAAAACGTTACCTGCAAGTATTTAACATAACTCACAATGACGACACCTTCAAATATGCATACACACTATTATCAGATACTAAAACAGTTGACCTGACATAACCCAAACCCAACTCTAACTACAGAACTTGGCCTATGGCTAAAGCCTCTTAACATGTTCAGATTGTAATATAATATAACTCCCATTCTAATATGATTTATGGCAGACAAATGGCACACAATTGATTCAACAGCGCAAAGTAAAGTATTCTCTGAGAAATAATGCAAGCTATTTTCATTTCTGACAAGTTACTAAATGTGACCTTTTGGAAAAAGATTAAATTATTTCTCAGGACTCTCACTTTGCCTCTGAAGGGCGGCAGCATTCTTCCGCACAAAACCTATTAATGTTCTGGTGAAAAAATGACAGAAACACATTTGACATACTGGCAATGCATGTACTTTTTTTTCCTGAAACATCAGGAAATCTAGATGATGCCATTCAGCACATGGGTGGATGAGTGCTGCCTTACTATCAGGAAACTAAAACCTATTATTTGTTCAGTCTTACAGGCTCAGGGTTTCTTATATCAAACAATCATGTCACAACAAGGCCCATCTCTCATAATAGAATATTACAATCCCCTTCATGAGCTAGACAATAGTACAGCCCTCCCTGATCCTCTATACAGGATGATGCGGAGTGCATCAAGACAACAGATGATGGATGGCCTCCAAATGAGACTGGAGAAGGCACTGACAACTCTGAGCAATGACCAATGAACTAACACTGCTCTGGCCATCATGATGCAATTCACGCCTATTTTCCCCTTGCCCTGTGGAGAAAATGACTTGGCAGAGGACAAAAAAAAAAAAATCACACCTTTAAAATACAACCTTTGAATCTGAGCCTCAGCACTTCAAAAAAAAAAGACATCCAGGCAGTACAACAATATCAAAAATATACATATTAATTTATTCATTTAACTGTGATGAACTGTTGTGAATGTTTTTATGTATTGCTACAAAAACAAAGGGCAAGTGGTGACTAATTTCTGCACATGGAGCTATGAAGATTTCTATCAATACAGTACTGCTTCACACTGCCACTTAAATACTTTTTATATTAAGTTAAAACTAATCTGGTGTCAAATGGGACATGTTTAACTTAACTGATGTTGGGCAGTTAGGAGTCATGATTGGACGACTGATGTTTCATTAGTTTGCCGTTAATTTATCTGTGTTTACGTGTCTGGATGCAATGAATGACTCTTCCTAAAAAACTAGAAAATGTAATTTTGGAAACCAAGTTCATTCACTTCTGAGGTCACTGAAATTCCTACGAAGATCGGTAATCAGAACTTATATGAATACAGCTCACCTTAGTGCAGTACAGATGTAAAGCTGTGAAGTCCCATTTCTTGGCGTGTGAAGGACTGTATTTCAAAATTGCATTCTGTAACAAATAAAAGCAAAATTAGTCTATATTTAAATTTTAAGTCAGGATCACTTTATGTGTTTTAAATTCAGAGACCTCAGTGTGCCTCACATTTTCTGGGCTCATGGTGCCATCTTGTGGCATAAATTGGTAAAAACAGTAGTGCATGGTACGCAAAGTGAAAAATATGTACACATGATCAACTTGCCTTGATATCAAGTGGACTTGTGAATTTCTTGTTTAAAGTTTCCTTGATCAGCTCCCACCGACTCTTATTCTGAAGTTCTTGTGTTTCCTGTGGTAGCAAAACTTTTGTTAGGTCTCTGCTGGGTAATTTCAGTTCAGCTTAGAAGATGCAAAGAAAACAACTATGTTGTGTTGTTGTGTCTTGTAATTGCAGTGAGTTCATGCATTCATTAAGGGCCATGCGTCAACATTTCTGCACTGTCAGTTGTTGCCCACTGTGTTTTAGTCATGCTCATGTAGACGTGAGAGAAGAAAAATAAATAACTGATCTGAAAGATTGTGGATAGGCACCATCACTTGTAGAATCTCTTAACAGTGTTACTTAAAGTGATATCTTGACATTTTGCTAAAAATTGTGTATAATATGTGTAATTAAAAGCAGTTAAATTACAAAATATACATTTTAATTTATGCATGACAATATCTATGACTACTACAGTTTTTATACCAACAAGTCTTGAACCATTACCTCATCTTGTACAGGAAACAGATTACTGCTTGAACAGGGCATCTTGGCATGGATGATGTCCCAGGTATCCTTAAACATACCAGGATATGGAACAGGAACTTTACCATAGTGAAGAAGGTCTGTCTGTCAAAGGGAGAGGATTTAAAAAATGCATTAATACATGTAATATTAACTATGATGTTAAAACATTTGTTTTGATGGTTTAGAAATGATCTTGATGTCACAAAGAAATATCTGCTCAATATACAAACTTTTCTTGAACACCTACACTTTCAGAAACCGGTAAAACATTGTAGTGACTGATGTAATACTGTGTGTTTCTCTGATATAACCACCTCAAGTACTGTGAATAGTATAAAAAACAAAGAGCTCAAACCCTTATCATCACAGTATGCTGGTCAGGGACATTCCTCAGTGGGGGAAGCGGTCTGCCACAGTCAGGCATCCTCTTGAGCTCACTGATTGGCGTCCCCAGCCATTTAACTTCAGGCTTTCCATCAGCAGATGTCGATTCTTTGTGTCCGTCTTGTGTCTCTGGAGACTTATCTGGTCTGCCCCCTCTCCCAAGTAGACGTGGTGACGAGGTCCCCGAGAAGAAATCTGTTATTTTGGTTTTGTGTCTGACAGAGGTTTCTGAGCTTGCTGAGCATGATTCCAATTCTTCTGTTTCAGATCCTCGATCAGTGCAGGACAGCGTGTGGATAAGCCCACTCCCTGCTGAATCCTGGGAAGCAGGTGACACCAGACTGTGTTCCTCCAGGTCTTCTGGTGTCAAGGGTTGAGTTTCTTCCTCCATGTCAAATTCTGTGGGTAATTCAACATTTTGGCAAACCAGAGACTGAGATGAGGTACTTTCAAAGCCGCCATCATCTGTACTTTCCACATCATCTTGGAATTGACACACTTCAGGTGTATCTGTATCTTTCCTGGGCTTAACGACCCATTGTTTTAGAGTATTGATGACCTTATGTTGCTGTCTGGGGCCCATTCTTTGATGAGAAGTGTTCTTCTTAACACGTCGCAAACTACCAGCTCCCGTCTTTGGCTGTAGATCCATCTTCATCTCTGTGTTGTGTATACTTGTTTTTTCTACAGACTCATTATCTTGCTTCTTACTACATAAAGATTGACCTGAATAAAACAGAAGAAAAACAAGCAATGTATTATAAAGGGGAAATATTGGATCTAAATATCAATTTAAGCTGAACCAGGCTGACAAGATAATCTAAATCCACAACATATTACTTGTTGCAAGTCCCCTTTTCTCCATTGCAGTATGCATAGGACCCAAGGTTGTGTAAGGAAGCCAGATAGATCAAATCAAAATATCTCTGCAAGAGGACACCCTGACTTTTTTCGAGGTTTGGCGAGATGAGCCAAGGTCTAGGTATTTATTACAGTTTATAACAATACATATGTTAACTAGTTAACTTCCTGTACGGCTCATCAGCTTCTAGTCTCAGTGAGAGAATACATACTTCTGCTTCAGACGTCGTCCGTCTCCTTCATCCTGCAAGATTTCCTTCATAAAGAGTAGCAGAGAAACTCACCTCGGAGAAAGGATGATGTAGACGCTGGTGCATTGGTTCGGATCTTTAGCCTCTTTGCCAAAGGTTCTAAGTCAGTCATTCTGGAGGAAAAAGAAAGATCCATGTAATTTTGAGTCGGAGCTGCGTTTTCTCTCCATGATCTCATACTCACAATACAACGTGAGCTGACACCACCAGTGAGGCGTATGTCCAGACTCGTCTTTTGGGAAGTCCTTTATTCAATAACTGGGCAAGTCTCGAAATATAAAAAGCAGCCATACATTACGATATTTACTTATTTACAGAAAGCACATACCGGTGCAGGGTTTTTCCCGTGTTGCTAAACGGTGACGGATCAAATAACCCGAAATCGCAGTCATGTACTTTAAGATCACAGATAATGACAGATTGGCAGCCACAGCTTATTAGCTTAAATGCTAACTAGCTTTTGGACAACGCCTCGTTATCGAAACAACCGAAAACAACCTGGCTCGTAATAACGCTTTAGTTAATACTGAATAGTGACATCTTTCTGTTAGCATTAGCTTCAGGCTACACAGTGAGAATGTTTGTTATCGTCGGTCTTCTTCTTCTGGTATTTATTGGCAGTTGGCAAACCAGCTCGTAGGCGCATTGCCGCCACCTTGTGGACTGGAGAGAGATGTAGTTTCTGTCATTTCCACCAGTTCTTATCACACTGATGTGTGTTTAAAGGTTCAGTGTGTAGAATTTAGTGATATCTAGTGTTGAAGTTACATGTTGCAGCTGAACGCCCCTCACCTCACCCTCTCCTTCCAAACATGAAAAAGAAACTGTGGAAGCCTTTAATTGTCATAAAAACTCAAAATGTGTTTAGTTTGTCCAGTCTGGACTAATGTAAAAAACATGGCGGCCTCCGTACAGAGGGTCCCCTCGATGTAAATATAAAGTATTTGAATATAAAGGACCTTTTCTGGGGTAAAGAAAACTCCAACTCATACAATTTAGATGAAATGAACTTGTGAAAAAATCATGAGAATTATTCTACATTAAATTTATGCCAATAGTTCCCTTTCACCTAAATCTTACACACTGGACCTTTAAGTGTTAATGAGATGGTTTTCATTTAGTAATTTGATGCTATAAAAACAAGGCAAAACATGATTGAGTCTAGCTCACAGCTCCATCCCTCAGTTGTTGCTGCGCAGACTCTGACTCCCAAAGTGGCAGCGTTTGTATCCAGGATATTTAAGTTTCATATCTGGATAGTGGGAGGAAGTGGAGATGCGTCGTCTATCTTCATATATAGAGTGTGACTTAGATCAATGTGATTTACCACTGAAAATGTATATTCACTCACTAGTTCTTTCAGTAATAAAGTAATCCAGCAGCTGATCAGTGGAGTAGAGTTTTTTTTCTACACTTGAGGCGGTTGAGGCTAATGTGACAGGATCCTAAGATAAGCCATGACAAAAAAGTTATTTATGTAAATGATTTATCTTTTGATTTTTCAAGTCAATATGGTCTCTTCCTCTTCTGTGATCTGGAGTTGCCATCAGAGCTGGTAGAGGTCCGCTTATTTAGGGATGTTTGGCGGGTGGTCTTTGCTCCATCTTTTCCACTGGGAAAGCTCTGATCCTGGCAGTCGCTCATCATGTCCATGCAGGACTTCACACTGAGAGACAAACCAATGACTCAGCCAAACAACTTCATCTACAAATATCTCATATATTTGTATCTTTATCTGTGAGCACAGAAGAACACAGAGCATCTAAGCACACACTTACTAGGGTCCGTTTTTGAATGCGTCCTGAAGGTGGCTCATTGTGATGAATGGATGCTCAAGGATTCCTCGAGGAGTGATTCTCTCAGAGGGATCCACCTTGAGCATCTGTGTCAACAGGTTGGTGAAGTAGGCCAGGTCATGCTCACTAGCCTCGCCACCTATCTCTGAGGGACCATGACAAATCTTGAATAGGATGAGAAAAAAACAAATCAGTAAAAAAATATGAACTTGTCAGCATGTTTGACTTTTAAAAACAAATGTTGAAAGACTCAAAAGATATTTGATACCATTATCAGCTCCTCCAGGCAGCTCATCCTTTTGGAGGGTTGAAAAGAATCATCCCTCTCATCCAATGACTGAAGTTTAAGAAAGACAGGTTAAAGTAAAGACACAAAAACTTGATGTATAGACAGATAAGTTAACATACTTTGATAACACAGCTGAGTGATGGCCAAATATCGTCTTACCCTAAATATCCAACGTATGGATCCCGTCTGGTATGAGGGCCAGAAAAAGTAGTGCGCGAACTGTCCAGCTGTCAGTAACTTTTGGTAAGGCTTTCCAATTGTGTGTACAATGTTATTCATCTGTGGGCATAACACAAAGTAATAATTAGTTACCTTCAAGTTGGCAAAGTGAGCATTGGTGATCAGGCAGTATGTGTGAATTTGTTACTCAAACATATGGATGAAGTGTCTCTTGTTGGAAAAGAGTTATTGTTTGTGACATTAAAAGATCTTGATGAAAATACTAGAAATTTGATACCTTGTAATGGAATATCTGTCCCTGTTCTAACCAGATGTGGATTTAAAAATGCAAAAACATCATGACAGAAATGTTTGTTGTGTTTTAAATAGAATACATGTACTGACCTCTTTATATACAGTCTATGGTACTAACCAAATTGTACTTGTCCTTGACATTGAACAGCAGTTTGCCTCGAAACATTTCTGCAGCAATGCAGCCGAGCGACCACACATCTATGGCCTCGTTGAATGGAGCTCCCAGCAGGATCTCAGGAGATCTTAGAAGAAGACGAGAAACAATATTACTGTGGTTATAGTTCTATACCAGAATAATACAGCAGACAACAAATGTCGGACATAAACAGATGTGTTGCCGATTTCTTACCTGTACAACAGGGTCTGGATGGTTGCACCAACATGTTTTGCTGGATTGCTCAGGGCTGAGCCAAAGTCAATGACTTTGATCCTCAGCGACAAGAGATGTTGCACCATCATGATATTTTGTGGCTTTAAATCTCCGTGAGTGATCCCAGTGCTCTTAAGAAAGTCCAAGGCTGTGGCAAGCTGAAATCATAATAAAAAAGGTTAATTCAACTCTACTGCAAAGTTCATGTCGTCAAGAAAAATGTATGGCATTGATGGCAGTGAAAAAACAAAAAGAGAAAATAACACAAACCTGCTGCAGAATCGGTCGGATCTGCATCAAATTCAGAGATTGGGTCGGGCTACTCCTGATGAATTTAAAAAGCTCAATATCCAGCTTCTCAAACTCGAGACAGTAACATTCCTTATAGGTGAAGGAGTCATTCCATCTCACTATATTGAACCGGTCTGCGTTGAGGTCTTTAAGTTTGCACAGGTTTATCTCCTGAATGAGATAATAGGAGATGTTACAGGTTTCATGTGAATAAGATGTGATGTTGATTTGTTACAAAGGTCAAACATAAATAGACAGAAGTCTGTACCTCCAACTTTGCTGTCCGAATTTGCTCCTTGCTCCTAAAGATTTTCAGAGCAACCATTTCGCTGGTGGTCACCTTCTTACATTCAGTGACTATGCCAAAGGAGCCACTCCCCAGGTACTTCTGCACCTTGTAAGATGTCGTCGGGGAAAAGATGTCTGTTCCGAGGTCAAATCCGCATTTCATCATTTTCACACCTAGAAAAGAGAGTAGAAAAGACAAAGTTTAGACACAAAACCAAGTGTTGTTACATAGAGCCTGACATCCAGTTTCCATGCACAGAGCAGAAAAGTTTATGGACAGTTTCAAGCTCAGCGATTCATCTGTCAATTTAATCTGAAAATGTATTTACGCTTCTAGATCCCTTGAATGTTGTGCTGTTAGCCTAAGCCGAGAAAGCTAAGCTGTTAATAGCTGTTAAGGGTGAACATAACCTGTTAGCAACAATAATGTTATATTTACTAGCATGTTTATTTCAGTGGCATTGTTTATTGAGAGGATATGTTTGTCATGTCCTCTGCTTCTTCTTAGGCAGGACATAAAAAAATAAAAACTACCAAAACTACTATTTAAATCCAAGATAAATGACAGACTGATTAATATTGCTTACTTCTATTACCACTAATATTACTCATGTTACTACACTTATAGTAAACAATCAAAAATGAGCAGACACAACATACTAAGTGAAAAAATATGAAATTACAACTTTTACAATTGTCAGCTGTAAAATAAAACAATCAACCTACCAGAAGATTAATGTGTCACTGGTGAATCCAATTTCTTCGAAAAATAAATGTTTTTTTCCAAAAAGAGTCAAGGTTTCGTCAACTTGATGCTGCACCGAGTAGGTTAACTAAACCAACTAGTAATGAAGTGTGTGCATTTATGTCTTTAATGAAACTATGATCTTTACTAATTCCATTGATGTCTTTGATCTCTCATTACATTTTCAAATCTTTACTGACAATCATTGTTACGGTGCAATAAGGCTTCAGATAAATTTAGCCTGTGCTAAGGGTCTGATAAAACAGATATTCAGTTTGCTGAGCAAAGTATTTTCCTCTCTTCATATGATGAGCTCTGAAATACACAGTGCTCCCTTTTTTTGCCAGTTTATTAGGTACACCTGGTTCAAACTAATGCAGGCTAATACAGCAGTCCTGCAGTAAACCTATCCTTCAGGAAGGTTATAACACTCAGTTTTTGATTAAGCTGTCTCAGTGAGCTGTTGAGTCACCTTTAAGATAGTTTTTATAATTTGTGCTGCAGCTGAGTGGTGTTCCATTTTATTATTGTTCACCCCATTTATATCAGTGGATATAATAAGATGAAAACTGAAACTGCTCAGTGTAATAAAATACAGTTCAACAGTCCCCCGGACTTTGTATTTGCTTCCATTTATTGGGGGCAGCCTAACCAATGACCAACTAATGGCTAACCCTAACCATAACTCACACTCCTTACCACAAGCTCTTATCAACAAATATGTTTTTGCTGCAAAACAACTTCTCTAAGTTTCCTACACTGTAACAAATAACTGTAGTTTCTACAGTAAAATTGTACAGTAACTTCTTGTTCTGTCAAGTTTATCTGTATATCGCAATGCATCATGGGTCCAAAAGAATTACAGTAGCTGACAGCATTTTTCCACAATAACACATTGTAAAGTTAAAGGCATGTTGTATTCTGACTGTAGATGGTGCATGTTACAGTTAAATACTGTTGATATCGATTGCGTTGCAGAAGGCAGTTTGAAAGAAACTTTACATGAGAGCAAGGGAGCAGAGGAGCAACAGCATGTCCATCCACTCCATAATACGTAAATTGAATGTTAATTAACTTTGTTGGGATGTCATAATAACATTGTTGAGATCTTAATTAAACCAATGCTATTGTTTACAGTTACTAAAGTGACAAATCTATAATATTCAAATAACATATGCTAATGCAGGTGAATCAATGACATTTGTTCATACATCATGATGTGTCCTCTGTTACGGCTCCTCCTGCTGGACAGGGGACGTATAGGTATCTGTCTTGGCCACACCCACCAAGATCTAGACGCACCTGTACTGCAGCAGGAAGCGACAGCTCGGACTTTACTGTCTGTAACATTAATGTAAATCCTACTGGTGTTTCAGCTGCTTCAAACTTTGACCGGGATCATGGTCAGAAAACAAATCTGGATCATCTGCGTCCTGCTGTGTCTTATTTCTGGGATCGACAACAACGGTGAGATTCATGGTTTGAGTTTCACGTTGAGCTGGTGTTTCCTCTTTTCTTCATACCTGTATATTTTTGGCTTTGGTTATTTTGGAACAATTCTCGTTGATGTTATGAAAGAGGCCCCTACGTATATATATCTCAATTCACCAGTTGAAGAATAGCATCTTATTTTTACAGTTTCTCTGTGTTTTCACTTTTCTTCCAGACCTCTCCAGTGAGCTGATCTCTCAACTTGCCAAGTACTCCATTGTAAATCCGCAGGTGATTCACAGATGGTCCAGGAGCATCAACAGACCGCCACAGCCTGAAGAGGTTGGTAACAAACCCTGATTCAATGATCTTTTTGAACTGCATGTTATACGCCTACACTAAGGATACTTCCTTTTCAACCATTTCAGAAAGATGGAGGGGAGAGGATATCGTACGCACTCTCCATAAACAACACACAGCACCTGCTTCATCTAAAATCCAACAGGTAGCCTGAGCCCACAGCTCTGCCATTATCCTGTTAGAGCCTCAGATCAAATATACCCTCATATTTTTTTTTCTCTTCTTCTTCTCAGAGACTTCTTACACCCAAACCTTCTTCAGTATGAGGTAGCTGGTGAACACAACTCCTCATTAAAACGACACGTAAGTCAACCCTTGGTCATTCTGGTTTATTGAGCTGGTTTGAGCATCAACCATTAACCAGTTTTCATGTCCCTTCTCCCCAGGTGCATTGCTATTACCACGGCGAGGTGGAGGGATATGAGGATTCAATGGTGGCGCTCAGCACATGCTCTGGCCTCAGGTTTGAATCCCATCTCTCGCTGGTTACTCTGATTCTGTGTTCAGTGGAATGGTATCAGGCTTTTATGATTTCAACCTATAAGTTTTCCTTTCAGTCAATATTGATAATTTTCATGATAAATGTCATATTTTACTTTTAAAGACTAAAAGGAAGGTTGGAGATGTATACGGTGTATATGGAACCGTTGCTATTGATTAAAATTATATAGTATAATTAATGATATTGTTTTCTATTATATTACAGTTTCATCATTAAGAATATAGGACAAGGTGTTGAATATTATAAAGGGGAGTCCTATATTCTAAGTGATATTGTTTAATTGTGTTCTTAAACAGTTCTGTTTGCTGTAATGCATAACACAATTCATCCCCTGAACATGGTGTGTGTGGAAGAGAAGGTGCTGCACATAGATGCACTGCGTGAATGTGAAAAAAGCTGTAATGTAAATCACTAGGGAAGCACCAGTCAACACCAGTTTCCCAATTTATTTATGATTTGTTCTCATTCTCCATGTTGTCATACACTGAGAAAAAAAATACTTTTTAAAAATGATTTTATCCGACACTCAAGCAACTGAAGTCACACATTTAAAATGGCAAATTTCCATTAACTAAGACAGCTTTTGTTTCCTTCTCAGTCAGACCTAACCGAAGCGAATCGTGTCCTCCCATGACTCACTGAGTACATTTTGCTTGTAGTCAGATGTTGTATCAAAGCACCACACCCTGGGCCTTAAACATTTTAAAGGTGTCTCCGATCTTTGCTTCGTCTCTGCAGGGGCGTGATCGTCTTTGGAAACGAGACCTATGGGCTGGAGCCTTTGCCGCAGTCTGAGACCAATGAGCACGTTCTCTACCTGCTGAGGGACATCAAGTCAGAGCCCGTCATCTGCGGCGTCGTCGACGAGGCAGCATCCACGCAAAGCCACGAGGCCTTTGGCCCAGGTCAATCGTTGACATCTCTGCTGCGGGTTGGGCTGCTCAGTTTGTTACCTTAGTAAACTATATTCACTGTTTGAACAGGTTTAAAGTGGATTCGGGCTGAGGCTCTTCTTTACTGTGTGTTTGTTGTTTTCACAGAGGAAGCGCACCTTACCACAAACCAGTTATGTGGAGTTGGTGCTGGTTGTTGATAATCTCAGGGTGGGTCTGTGTTTACCTGTTTGTGAATGTGAATGTGTTTTTACCCAACAAATGTTGCAGTTGTTTTCCTATGCAGTGGATTTTATTGCCTAAGAGATCAGCTCGTCTAATATGGCTGAATGTGGCTGTTTTGACATTATCTTTATTTGGTGTCTTCACTGTATTTACAGTATAATTTCAAGAAAAAGAATGAGACAGCGGTTCGAGAAGAAATGGTGCAAATGGCGAATCTACTGGATGGGGTGAGATTTGAATTTGGAAAAACAACTAGGCCAAATAAAGTGAATATCTCTAAAATCACCTGCTTTTCTTTTCTGTTTCAATCCAGTATTACAAACACCTGAACATCCGCGTTGTGCTCGTGGGCCTGGAGATCTTTAAGGAGAGTAATCCTTTTAGTGTGGATGGCTCTGCAGGAGACGTGCTGGGGGGCTTTGTAAAGTGGAGGAAGAATACTCTGATACCAAGGCTCAAGCATGACATTGGTCAACTCATCGTGTGAGTGCTGCCTGTTCTTGTTCTGTTCTGTCTACTTCTGCTTTTAAAATAACATGACACCATTCGATGACAATGTTTGGTACAAGCTACTTCACTTATCTCTGGTTCTCGTTTCTCAGTGGTCAGCCCAGCCCATACGGCGGGGGCGTGTTAGGCATGGCCTTCGTGGGCACCGTCTGCTCCGTAGCGACCTCTGGAGGAATCAACGTGGTCAGTTCAACTTCCTTTTTTAAACTTCTAACACCAGCAGACACTGTGGTGCTTTGACATCATGAGCTTTTGTGTAGAAACTGATACCGTCTGCATTATTCATGGAGGGTTCTATTAGTGTGGCTCATTTTCAGAGGCTGTGAATAACAGAAGGATCAAACCAGTAAGACCTGAACAGAGTGACTCAGCTCCATGACGGGGCATCTTATTCTGTCTGGTTAGATTCTTTAAATACTCTTGTCTTGGGAGGACAGTGTTTATTGTTCCTGTTTGAAGTCACGCTGGGTGGAGAAATGACTTCCTGATAAACTAAAAATAAGAACCCCTATGCACAAAATCCAGTGAATCCAATAATCAAAAGGAACTTCCCATCTTTTCATTTCTTACCATCAAATAAAACTTGTTTTTTGATATATATGGTATCCAGTTATCATTCAGAAGCTGTGAATCACATGTAATTCAGAGAGATAAATTAAATAAATCAAGCAAAATGCTGCTTTTCACTTAAAATGCACAAGACTCAAAGCCAAAGCTTTTTTTAAATTAGTATTTCAATAATATTGATAAATTACTTGGGTATGCTTTCACAGTACAGCGACAACAACCTGAATTTCATCTCCACTGTTGTGGCACACGAGATGGGACACAACCTGGGCATGGGTCACGACGACAGCCGCTGCAACTGCGATGGAAAAAGTTGCATTATGGGAGCTGGTGCCAGGTAGAACATCTTCCCCAAAATATGTAGTTGACATGAAATTGAAAAAGTTAAAACCGTATGTACACACAGTACATTGTATATTCTGTGACTTTTACAACACCCATATTGTCATGCCAAAGTTTTTCCCCTCCGAAAACTGAAAACTAGCAACTTTCTGTATTACTTAATGTCAATCATTTTACAAATTAAAACCTGTTTAATGTAGTATTCTGTTATAATGTAGTCAGTTTCGGAGGTAATTCATACTGTACTGAAAACTACTTCAGTTCATTGAATGGTTTATGAGAAACAAACATGATTGTGTCAAAGATTTAGTTATATGAGGCCTCTCCAAATGGACATTTCCATTCATGTCTGTTCCTGTCACCCTGTAGCGGCGCCACCAGCTTCAGCCGCTGCAGCGAACAAGACTTTGAGGGGCTGGTGCTCCGTGGAGGAGGCGTGTGTCTGAGAAACCAGCCCTCGTCGTCTGATGTGGTCGGTACCGCTGAATGTGGCAACGGTCAGCTCAATAAAGGAGAACAGTGTGACTGTGGAAAACCAGAGGTAGGGAACTGTCCTCCAGATAAACTCACACATGCATTACACAAGTTTTTCTAATACATCACATCGTCATATAATGTAAAGGACAGCAGTTTTTAGATCTGACAGCCAACAAATATTAATGTCTACAATAATCACTGACAACAATGTAGTTGTTATAGTTGTAATGAGCTGTTGAGAAGGTATTTAGAATTTACTCTTATTTTAAACATGTGTAGGACATTTGCAAATGAATGATGTCAGTATTTGAAACCTTTTAATGGAACACAGAAAAGGTCATGTTACAACCTCAATCTTAGAATTAAAAATGTTTGGGTCTTTTTAAAGTCATGTAATTTACTTTTCATGTCGTTTTAGTGTAGTGGTAAACATAGTTTTGCTCTGTTTCCATTTCATGCAGGAATGCAATAATAAATGCTGTGATCCTGCCACTTGCAAATTTACACAAGGGGCCGCCTGCGCTGAGGGAGACTGCTGTGACAACTGTCAGGTCAGCACTGTGCTGGATGAAGTTATGTAGCTGAGGGCTACAGTGAATTAGAGGCTGTAAATTGCTTTTGGGAAAACATTAGGTGCACTTCTAAGAAATAGTTGTATCTAACGGATTTCTGTTGTAGATCAAAGTTGCTGGAACACCGTGCAGGACATCTGTCAACACCTGTGACCTTCCTGAATACTGTGGAGGCAACAGTGGGTCCTGTCCCGATGACTTCTACATCATGGACGGCCTGTCTTGCCAAAACAATGCTGCGTACTGTTACGAAGGCAGATGCCAGACATATGATTATCAGTGCAAATATCTCTTTACACCAGGTACAATAAACAATCCCTTACATGTGTAAACCAGTCAAGAATGCATCGCACAGTGGTCACCAAGCCACTGATCAACTTTTCTTCATTAATATTATATAGTATTTCATATCTTGGTTTTTATTTCTCTCTGCTGCAGATCCAGCTAAAAAGGCGGCAGATATTTGTTATCATCATGCAAATACTGTAGGAAACGCATTTGGAAACTGTGGCATCACCAGCAAAGGAGACTACATCAAATGTACTGTAGAGTGAGTACGCTTTTTATAAATGTAAATAATGGATCTCTAATAATTTATTGTCACATCAACACAGAACGTAAGAAAGTACTTTGTATTGTAACTTTTAACTAAGTGATGTAACTTAAATTGTCAGTTAAAGGATAAATGTGCTTTTTTTCGTCATATTTAGTCCATTAACAGCAGTGGCAAATTTCTTTCTACAGAAACTCCATGTGTGGAAAAGTGCAGTGCACTGATGTGAACGCCAACAACCCCCCTCCTGGCGCCCAAGTCAGCATCCAAATAGTTGACGGTGTATATTGTATAAATGCAGACTTTAACCTCGGCACAGATGTGTTAGATCCTGCCTACGTTAACCCCGGCAGCCCTTGTGAAAAAGGAAAGGTAAACCGACTCGGGAAGTTATGCAGTTCCACTTATTCTACCTTTGTAAAAGTGGAAAAGATGACGCATAATAACTCATCTTATTTGTTCTCTTTCAGACCTGCTTGGACTTCAAGTGTGTGAATGCTTCTGCTCTGTTGCCCGACTTGGACTGTGACGCTCAGACCACCTGCAACGGCCGAGGGGTGAAACTGCATTTACTGTACTTTGTTTACTCGATCACCAGTCGCTAATAACTAGTCTGACTTTGCTGTTGTGATGCTTTCTTCAGGTTTGTAACGACCAAGGACACTGTCACTGTAACAACGGGTGGGCGCCGCCGAACTGTGACAAGTCAGGACGAGGTGGCAGCATTAACAGTGGTCCAGCTCAGATAGGTGGGTTTAAAAGGATGAATTCATCTAATCGAGGATCATGTGGCCTTTAGTAATTCTACATCAGGGCTTCATATTGCTCATGTATTAATCAGCAGCAGCAGCAGTTCCCTATTACGTCTGTCGTTGAAGCACCCAGAAGTCTGTATGTTTTGGCCTTAGATCAGTTTGATTATACTGATGGAACAGAAACTAGGAAAATGTGTTTTAAATTATTTGTTTATGGTCGTCTTCATCAGATCTCTCAACCAATAGCATGAAAAGCCTGGAGGAGCTATGTCATTTGGTTGTTCTTCCACCATTAGTGTTATATACCTCTGAATGGTCATGCATGTTGTGTTTTTCATGTAGTTGAAAATGGGGGAAAAAAACCTTTAAAGCCTAAAGTCACTGCAAATTTATTGCTGTAATTTTATGGACTTTGCTAAGAAAACATGTTGACACTTGCGTGTAACAGTTAAATACACTCTTCTCCCTTCACATCCGACCGCGTCCACCTCAGACTACTCTGTCAGGAATGGCCTGTTGATCTTCTTCCTGCTGGTGGTTCCCGTCGTGGTTCTCGTCATTCTGGCGCTGCTCTACGTCTTCAGGAGAAATTCCCTGGACATCTGTTTGAAAAGAGGCCGCAAGTAAATAACTAAACATCACATTAGAAATACGTTTTTAGATATTTCAATTGTGCAGATACAGTGTTTTATAGTTTAATGTTGATGGAAAAAACTAATTGGTTCTTTTACGTGCTTTCTTTTTTTGTTTGTTTCATAGGTCACATAATCCTCAAAGAGAAAATGCAAATGGACAGTCAAACACAAATGTTCAAACAAGTGCCACAATGCAGCTCCCAGCACACACTCCTCCTAATGAGGTAAAAAATTTAATTCTCAACCATCACTGCAGGGAAGACAGTGCAAAGTTTGATTAACAGTATTAAAATCAGGTTTTCTTTACCTGAGAATGAGTCATACAAAATAAAAGAGGGAAATCAATAATAATAAACACACTTTTCATTTCCTATCTTCCAATTTTAGCCTGGAAATCCATCGGATACCTCAGCTCCAATTTCTGGGTATGAACTGATTTATATTTCTTTTTTTTTCACTCAATCCCTATTCACGCATAATCTTTGATTCCTGTGCAAAGGCAAACCTGTAACTGTTTTATCTGAATTTCTGTGTTCAGTTTCAGATATGGAGAAATGGATTACTGGAATACAGAAACGAGCACTGCCCCTGCACAACCAGCGGCTCCGAGGCAGGGCCCCGGAGTGCCCAGACCAATCCCTCCAAGGCAGCCACCGAATTGATTCCCATTTCATACAAAATAATCATATTCTATTTTATTGATAATCTATGGAGTTAACAACAGCTTGATACAATATGAAGAGATTTTTAAATCACTGTGACAGTAACAGACTCACTGTAACTTGTTTCCAGCAACTTTATCAGGTCGATGCGGTGGTGATGGAGGCTGTTAAGATGTGTAAATATGTATTGGTATGAGTGTGTTTTATTAGATTTCCATACATCACTTATTACAAATATGTGCATTTAAAATGTCATGAATAAATATTTTGTAACTCAATTATCTATTAAGTATTTTAAAGATTTTGATTTCACGGATGTTTATTGTAATTTTAAAAAATCAGGCAGTTTGTTTAAAGCTTTTGTTTCTTGGAAATGTAGTATATTTTCTGTACTTTTACTGTCAACATTACCTCTAGTTTGCATCACTCTAATAATAATGATAATAAATGAGAGATACAAAGTTGAAGCAAAGTATATAGGTGTCAGAAATATGTATTAAGAAATTAAATATTTTGGCAGTAACTTCTGTTGTCATTATGCGACTAATTTATTAAAGGAATCCTAATAATAAAGAATATATGACTTCAAGCACCATTCATACTCTTTGAAACAGAAGTGAAAACATCAGTAGGATTATTTTATATTAAATAAATGCCAATAATTCCCTTTCACCTAAATCATACTCACTGAAACTTTAACAAATAATAATAAAACCAGTCTAACACATTATTGATGAAAGATAATCTAAAAAGAGGATGGATAGATCTAGATTATGACAAATCTATATTCTGTATCAATAAATTGATCTGAACTAAGACAAAGAATAGATCTTAAATGATTAGTTGATGATTTGATTTAGTCCATGGACAGATCAAATTTACCTGCAACAGTTTCAGCTTCTCACATGTGAATATTTGCTCGTTTCCTATGAAAGCAAATGTCTCACAACCTACTGATATTTTACAGACTATAAAATGAACCGATAGTCAGGACATATTATTGAATGATGAAAACAAATCATTTGTTGTGGTCATTATCATACAGTGTAATTTTATTTTACCTGCATGCCTTCCTTTGTGTGCTTTTATTCTAAAAGGATTATAACCGGAAATCACGTTGGTAACTCGTTTGACGTCAGCGGAAGTCCCCTGTTAGCTGCGATCGTGCAGGTCTGCAGGAAGAAACATCATCATGGAGAGAAGTTGAGTTTGAAAGTGTTTCTCTGTAGTAACACATGGCAGCAGGGGAGGGTGGAGGTCGGGCTCCGGTCTGCCTGTGTGTCCTCTGCGGGCTGCCCGCCGCTGGGAAGTCCTCCCTGGGCCTCACGGTCCTCAGCACCGCTGCACAGCTCGGCTGGAGAGCCACTGTGGTGCCTTATGATGACCTGATCCCCGGGCAGGCCTTTCACACCAGAGTGGAGGAGGAGGAGGACGGAGCGATGGTGAAGATAATGTTTGATTTAGAGATTTTTATACTGAGGTCAGCGAACAAATAAGTCACAAGTCCGACTCATATCATATACACAGAGCTTAAAGCTTAATTTTAGGATAATTAAAACGAAAAGCAGAGGAAGAGGAACTACGATCAGGAAGAATGGAAATGATCAAAACCTATTTTGACAATCAATGATTGTTTTTAATATGTTGAATGGAACATGCCAATATTTCACTGGCTGCAATTTCTCACTTTTATTTTAAATTTTACATAAAGTTAACAGATTTTGAATTGGCTTGGACCAATGGTAGGTCACATCAAACTGTTTGAATAAGGTAAATTTGGGCTCTGGTAACTAGTATTATTATTATCTCCTGTAAATAATCATACTACCTTTATCCTACCTTTTACTTGTATCCTAACAGTGTAAATTCAGTTTCATTCTTTCAACATACATTAAAAGTAGCGCTGGGTGATTAAAAACATCAATATTTATCACCACATCATTTTCATCAATAGGAATAAAAGACGCATTCAATATATATCAATATCAGGCTCATGCATTGAGCACAGTGAGGAGGTATAACACATAATTGATCTACCTTAGATTTGTAAAATCTTTATCAAGTGTTTGTCATAAATAAGAGTTTAAAAAGATAACTTTCACTCCAGAGCCAAAATGTGTCAGAAATAACATGACAATTTTTATCTTGATATTATTTTTGCCTGAATAAAAAGTTTTATTGATTGAAAAGTGTTTTTTGTTTTTTTTCTAGCACACTGAATGGAAGTCACACAGACAGGCAGTGCTGCAGTGCATCGAGCTCTTCCTGAAGACGCCTGAGGTGTCGGCAAAGCTGCTGAGCGGCCGTCAGATCAACACTGCTGCCTGGGAACAATGCGTCCGTGTGTTGCGGCAGCCTGAAGCTGTGGACCCCTCTCAGGCCGACCGGGCACCACTTCTCTTTCTACTGGATGATAACTTCTACTATCCAAGCATGAGATACGAAGTGTTCCAACTTGCAAGAAAGTGTAAGCCCTTTTGTTTTCTGTATTGAGTGCAAGCCACTAACATAATGCATATTAGTTAAGCATGTTTTGGTCCATTTATCAATATTGTATATTCCTAAACCATCCTCAACTGTCTTTGCAGATTCTCTGGGGTTCTGCCAGGTCTATCTTCACTGTGATGTTGAGTCCTGTATCAGCAGAAACCAGCGCAGGCCTGAACCCGTTCCAACCGAGGTGATTCTGGAGATGGTAAAGCGTCTGGAGCCCCCAAATCCACAGAAGAACTCGTGGGAGACGCAAAGCATTTCGCTTAACACCACAGATAATTTGTCCAAACGTGACATGTAAGACAGCAGAATAAGCAATTGTTTTACCAAGGTGCATTATTCAGATATTAATTGTTTGCCTGTCTATTTCCCCTCTCCTGTGTGGCTTGTCCTCAGCCAGATGGTGACGGAGTTGATCTCCTCTGCGCTGAGAAACCCGCTGAGCCCGGTAGAGGACAACGCTGAACAAAAGGTGTGTTGACCCCCTCCGCGCCCCCAACAGCACTCCTAAACCTGTCAATAGTGGGTTTTAAATGTGCGCCTGCAGAAGTGGAGAATTGAGCTGCTTTGTTCTCATGCTGTGCAGGAAGCCGACCGACTGAAATGTGCCACAAGTGTGGTTCACCAAGCTGACCGGGCCTGTCGACGCCTCATCTCTGAAGCCATGAGGACTGCCAGAGGTCAGATAATAGGTTCATTGATATCGTACACATGACATTGTATTGGGTTTGTCATTTGCAGCACATCATGATGGTAATTTTGTCACCTTCATTTCAGAAAATCAAGTTTCCTCTGAACACATGAGATCTTTGGCCTCGCAGCTCAATGAATCCAAGGCGACATTTCTTCGCAGCCTGCGAGAGCAGCTGCTGCAGGACTCGTCTTTCACTCAGGAGGAGGACTTGGACGTGGAGCGCGTGGTGAAAAGTGCAGTGGATGTTTTCGACCGTGAGAAAACGGAAATCTTGTTAAAAATAATAAATGACCCTAAATGACTTTTTCACAAAACTAGATTTGATTGTATCAAGCCACAAGTGAATTAGAGGATATGTAGTTGTATATATTTAAATAAAATGTATTTTTGCTTGTAACTTCCTCTTCAGTTTGTGGAACTAAGTAAAACAGAATCTTAATAACTGTATTTATCCCTTCAATAATTTATTAAGACATAAAAACAGTTCTAATTTTCCTCAAAATCCACATATATTTTTCTGCAGTATGTAATCTTTATCAGATAACATTTTTATCTTGTCTGTCAGGAACTAAACATTGCATTACATCTTAAAGTCACAGTGTTACCCTGAAACTTTACAGTTTCTCAATATCAGCTACTACACAAATTAGAAGTGGCTACACTGAACTTTGATTTTGGGAAAGAAATTGATAAATACAGAACCACAACCATTCAAAGTACAATTTATAAATACTTGTAGAAAAGAGTTGCAGGATATAAATAATATAAAAGAACAAAACTTACTGTAAATCTATCTAAAATATAATTGTTTGGATGTCTTCTACAATTTATGAAGTGAGGTATTGATAAATATCAGCATGAGCAGGGTTTTACAGATTAGCTGGACATGAAGTTAAGTTTTGTACAGAAAACAAGCTGATCAATTCATCAGTTTCTAAACATCCCACTTCAGTTCCTCAAAGTAACGTGTCCAGCTGATTTAACTGAGATAGAAACGTTAGAGTAACGGATATAGAGATGGACAAATGACAGGTTATCCGCAGTCACAACCTGTGTTCAATTTCAAATACTGATGATACTGTTTTTTTAAATAGCTTAGATGTAACTGCCTGTGTATCTGTGATCTACTGTGAAGCCCTGGTGACTCACTGCAAAATCACAATGAAACACAAGTTTCCTAATACTAACTGTGCTTCTGTAATATGTGTCTGTCGTATTCAGTCAAAAGAAATGTAAAAAAAAAAGCTCATAGGTGAAAGCTGTTGTGAGCCAAGTATATAGTGCAGTTAGTGAGTGTAAAATGTGTAGCCCTAACCCTATCCCTAACTGCACAAAAACAAAAATATAAAACCAGTGTCTCTGTCTTTAACACAATTTACCAAAAACACAAGGTTCTGTGACTCCATGTGCTTCTCTGTCAAAGAAAATCACTTTTTATGTTGGCCACGGGCAAAGTGGCATGCAAAGTCATATTTGTCTGTGCACATGTGTCCACAGATGTTGCACTGGAATGGATGTTCGTAGCCATGACAGCCCATGTGAATGGTGTAGAGGATATTGTCAGAAAAGTCAATATCACAGTGCTGGCATTTTTGAAAGAGCTGTTGGTCCAGAGTGTTCAGGGCAGGAGTGGGTGTGCTCGGCTGGCTGTTGCTCACACTCGCAGGAAGAGCGCTCATGTTGTTCTCAAAACTGAGGCCAGGAACAGGACTACAACTGCCGTGGCCTGAGGTGGGAGATTCTTCTTTAGGAGGTGATGTCTGCACTCTGTTTGAACACATTACAACCTGTTCACTAGAGACCTGATGTATGAGGATGGGCTTCTCATCTTCTAAAAACTCCCTGTCTGGAGACGCTGCAGTCTGAGACTCAGGGTGAAGGTCGGCCAACTGGCCAGCAAGTGTGGACAGCTGGTCCAGCGGGTTATTAAACGTCAAACCATTAGCGCCTCTGTTGTGACTATCATTCTCATCTACCTTGGGAAGGCTCTTATACTCACTGCCATTCAAATGATAGTGGAGCTTGTGAGACAAGTCGTTTAGATAATCCGACTTTGGCATCACCATGGAGGGAGGGTTGAAATTGATGAGCAGTCGCCTGCTGAAGCCAAGCGAGCCCGTCCTCTTCTGCAAGGCGCTCAGCATTCTCTTGTTGGAGAAGGCAGAGCGAACGACCCTCGTGGGCAGAAGTTTGTGGCGCCGGCGACGATGGTGTGACAGGTTGCTGCGGTCGCTGCAGCGGAAGGCGCAGAGGTCACACTTGTACGGCTTCTCTCCTGTGTGCGAACGCATGTGGGCTTCCAAATGGCGCTCATATGCTGAGGCGAAAGGGCACAGCTGGCAGCGGTGTGGCTTTTCTCCTGGGTGACAGTCAGGAGAGGAAATAATTGCAGTAATTTTATATTAAATATTTTACTGTAAAAGAGGAAACAGCAAATGAGCCAATAAGAGCATCTAGATGATACAAACAAATGTGAATCAAACTGAAACTGTTCACGATAAATTCTCTACAATTTCATCAATCATTCTGACATGCTGTAAATAGGACAAATAAATTATTTGTATAGTTAATGTACACAAACTTGTATAAACCTAAATAACAGGATATCTGGTGAATAACTAACCAAATATGTGTGTTTAGTCTTTAACGGTTTGTTATTCAAACTATGTTGACTTAACAACAGGTTGTGTCCTCTTGTCACAGATCAGGACAAGGTTTTGCAGTTTACACTCTACTACACAACGTGTTACTTAATCATAGTTTATGAATTGTTCTGTCATTCTAAATGGCTTCCCACAGCATATGTTTCAATGTTTACTATGTTTACCATTATAAATGACAAAATAAGCATCAGATCCTCATATGTCAGAGGCTGCAACCAGGATCCAGTTGGGCATTTTTACATGGAACAATGAGTACAATGGCAAATTTATTGCTAAATTAGTTGCCGATTAATTTTCTGTTGACTGACAAATTGATTATTTGACTAATTGTTGCAGCTTCAGTCTACACCTAAGTCTGTAGCTGATATACTCAGTGTTATGAACTCTGGGGACATTTCCTCTAAGTAAAATTAAATGTTCCCATTGTTGGCTTTCTTATTTTTACCCCATCACTAGTTTATGATGGGTATATATATATATATGTGTGTGTGTGTGTCTGGATTACCTGCAGTATTTCAGATACACAGTAAATTATTGGGTATGGTGTTGCCTTAGTGAATAACTGACCTGTGTGGATGCGGATGTGCTCTATTAAGCGAGCCATGCCCTTGTTGGCATAGCTACAGTAGCTGCACTTGTATTTTCCATCACAGGTCCTCTCCAGGCCGTCCATCTGTACATCTGACCCATCCTCCATCGACAGGCTCACCTCCACAGACGGAGGGTCCAGACCATTCTGCTCACTTCTGGGTGCAGCTGAAAACACACACCGTCACATTCTGACAACATATAACTGAATGTATATTAGTATATTTGATCACTGTGTGTCTCTCCCACCGGCTTGAAACGGCTCCACTGACTCTTTCTCTCCGCACACGGAGCCTGAGATCATGTTGACATGCTGGGTTTGCTGTGTCAGGTATTCTTGGAATTCCTTCACAAAATCCACAGGCTCGGTCTTTATCTCGTCCATTTCTTCGTCTGTGTAGAACCTGAAGAGATGCAGAGGACAGGAGTCGGTGGTCAGAGGTGTCACGACTCTTTTTTTCGCATATGACACCAGAGAACCAACAGTAGCTACTGTAATTAGCCTCCGCCGGAGATACGTTAGCTAACAGACATTAACAACGATGCTAACGCTACCTAGCACTGACTGTTTGACACCATATTCATATCTGACCTTTCAGCGAAGGAACAATTTTATTCCATAACAGAGAAAGAGGAAGGAACCGAACTCTGGGAATAAATTACCGGCGAAGTGTTTCTGTTTCTCAGATGCAGTCGTTACCCGGTTAACTTCCTCCTTTTCTTCTTCTACTTTGAAAGGCAGTTCGCAAACCAGCTTATTACTGCCACCTGCCGGGCTGGAGTGTGAAATGGTCCAATGGTGTATTTTTATCAGATGTCTCGATGTATTACTGTATTTTCCACCATTAAGAACCGATAATAATCCCCTTCTATGGAATATTTGGTATATTAACTGCAGTTTTCACATTATTTATTGAAAGATGTCAATAATTATTTTATTGCCTAATATTGTATTTCGTGTGCATGTGCAAATAACTGTGATGATGGTTCTGAGGTATTTAGTTTCTAACTCAGGGAAAGTCGTGGGAACAATAAGATCGACCTAAATCGAACTGATATTTTCAGAAACTGCCTGGAGCTACTTAAAAAACCTTTGGCATACATGGATATATTATATATGAGACCTTATATATTGGATTATAAAACACTTTATTTTACGACACATACGTATTCCCTTTCAAAATAAACGTTTAATTCACACACCCCATGTTCTGCCAATGAGATTCTGGACTGAACCCCCATTTCTGATTATTAAAGTGGTGAATAATTACAACACTGTTTTCCCTGAAACCACAAACGAAACCTCTTTTTTTCCACATATATGTTCCTCTATAACCTTTATTTACATTCATTTAATACATTTTATTACCTGCATATTTATATTTAAATATCGTCCAGGTTTGAATGATTATATTCTTCATGTACTCTCACTATATTTTACATGTGCTATCAATGTTGCACTACAGATATTTATATGTTTATTCAATAAAAAAAGATACGCCTCATTTCCGGGGTTGTATATGTTGCCTTCAAGTACTATCGGTAAAAAACGACATACAATCTACTCTCAATGACAGATATCGCACTGGTATCTTTCTTTGTATCCTATTTATTTCTATTAAAATATATGATGATCATGATGAAGATAACCTTTACGTTCAGTTTGAATTCAATTTGCTCTCTTTGACAGATTGCCATCATTATAGTGTATCAATATAATTTAAAGCACCCACCTGCCCTGCGGTCCTTGGAGGCAGCACATAAACATTTCGTAACTCAGCATGGCCGCTCCGTTGGTCAGGATCTTTTCTAAGGTGACACTCCGTGTTTCTGTTTACATGTATAACCATGCTGCTCTGAATTTAGCATTTTCCCACCGTGTTAAACTTCTGCATAGTTTCCTCGACAGTTTTAGCTAACAGACGGCTAACGCTAGCATCCCATGATGTGGCTAGGTTTGGGTTCCTGGCTAAAGACGAGGCTGTGTATCTCTGTCAGTGATGTTTCAAATGGCTGAAGACATCAATCCAAGTCTCATTATCATCTTAAAGTGAAATTAAATGTATGAATGCATTAGCTGCTGAGTGCATTTTGTTTGTTGGACCAGAAATGCTACAAACCCCTTTGTTTAAACAGTGTAGTGAAAGTGTTTGCGTATGTGTCTTCATTCAAATTTGTCCTGTTGTCAGTCTTGCATCAGACAGATCTCCCGACCATGGGGGTCATGCCAGGCTGGATGGAGGGGCATGTCCACCAGATCTGCCCCAGACGTGGCTGCACACGAGGGGGCTGGGCTGGGCTCCTTCGCTCCCCTGCAGACATACTCTGAGGAGGAGAACATGATGAGGGAGACAGGTGAGCTGGAGGTGTGGTGGGAAACACGTGTCCTGCTGACAGCTGGAGACAGAAAGCTCTGAAAACCCTAAACATCTCTCTTCTTTGTCTTGACAGTGAAAAAATATGCACAAGAGTGCATCGCTCCATTTGTGTCAAAGATGGATGAAAACGCTGTTATGGATGAGGAAGTGATCAAATCACTCTTTGAACAAGGCGTAAGTAATTCAGTGTCACATTTGATTTATTGCTTTTCTTTAAATCTATTGAATGACTCGCATGTTGATTTTTTTTCGCAGCTCATGGGCATCGAGATCGACCCAGAATACGGTGGCACCGGCACTTCCTTCTTCTCCTCCATTCTGGTTATCGAGGAGTTAGCGAAGGTGGATCCATCTGTGGCCGTTCTGTGTGACATCCAGAACACACTGATCAACACACTCTTCATCAAACTGGGCACCCCAGCTCAGAAAGAGCAGTACCTCAGCCGACTGTCAACTGACATGGTGAGCAATTTCATGTTTCCTGTGACATAAATCAACTTTCTTTGTTGCATCTTGGAAATAAGGGGGACCAACAACAAATCAACAATTGTTACAGATCACTTGACAGATTCTGCACATTCTGTATTTCCTGGAAGCTCCCCTTCACTTCCTCATGTTCCTGTGTCGACATGTCCTGCAGATCGGAAGCTTCTGCCTTTCTGAAGCAGAGTCGGGGAGTGACGCCTTTTCTCTGAAGACACGTGCTGAGAAACACAAGGACTATTTCATCATCAATGGATCCAAGATGTGGATCAGTAATGCAGAGCACGCAGGTGTATTCCTGGTGATGGCCAATGTGGACTTCTCTGCTGTGAGTAACTGCCCATCATTGTTTTTACTGTGGTTGTTTACTGCAGCTCATAATTATAACAATGTGTGCAAAAGAGTGTAATTTATGGTAGATCTATTATTAAATAATCTATCTATCTATGTTCTCATATCTTAATTATGATAATAATGATTATCATCCAAATATATTCTGTTTATAATGATATGAAACAAAACTAAATCCTTATATTTGATATACTGGTGTCAGATATTGTGTTTATTTATGCTTGTGTTTTCCCTGATAATAGGCAGGCGCAGTTCTAATAAGCAAATTGTTTTAAGTTTTAAGTCAGTATTGGCCTGTTTCAGTATCATATGGACAAGGAAGCTGTCAGTACTTCACAGTGATGATGTCTATAATTACAAATATATTATCTGTATGAATGACAGGGATACAAAGGTATCACCTGCTTCATCGTGGATCGGGACACCGAGGGGCTCGAGATCTGCAAAAAGGAGAACAAGCTCGGCCTGTGTGCGTCCTCTACCTGCCCGCTAAACTTTGACAATGTCAAGGTACGACCAATCACATTGTACATGAACCAGAATAATGTGAAATAAATACATATTTTGACTCTTCCTAACTTCCTGCTCTTCATTGTAGGTGCCAGAGAAGAACATTTTGGGACAGATCGGTCACGGGTATAAGTATGCCATCGGCATGTTGAACGAGGGCCGGATAGGAATTGCAAGTCAGGTAGATCATGAGATGTTATTATTTGATTTAGTTAAAAACAAGCTTTATGTGCTCGACTCAAGATAAGACATGTTGTGTGTTAACTTTGTCTCTATGTGTCTCAGATGCTTGGACTGGCACAGGGCTGCTTCGACCACACCATTCCTTACACAAGACAGAGGGTACAGTTCGGACAACGTATCTTTGATTTCCAGGTGAACGTCTCCCTTCTTTTACCTGACATGTTTACGTTACTCTGCCGGCGAGTGCATTGTTAAATGAGTGTGCTCATGGTGTTGTGGAACTCTTGGTATTCCAGGGCATGCAGCACCAAATTTCACATGTAGCGACGCAGATCGAAGCTGCACGGCTGCTGACGTACAACGCTGCACGTCTGAAGCAAGCCGGGAGACCTTTCATTAAGGAGGCCTGCATGGCTAAATACTTCACTGCAGAGGTGAGCTGTCTGGGTCACAGACTCAGGTGGTGTTTCTCAAGGATTTACCTGTATCGTCTGCCAAAAACAAAGAATTAATTTAGAAATTATACTTAGTACATACAGGGTTCTGCGTGGCCTGGGTCCTGACCATGTAGCCAGGATGTCGAGCCCTTATTCGAGTGGCCAACCTCTCCGATCATCTCGTCAATGCCTATTATCTGTTCTCAGTTCCTATTTAAAATTCAGATGTGACTGTGCTTTTGAGGTTGTTACTCACTGACTTTAGAACAGGCTTTTTCTCTTTCTCTTTTTTTGCTGCTTCAGATTTGCTCAATCTGTGGCTTGTTTTAAAACTTCTGAAAGCTCAATTATATCTATAGATTAGCTTTTTTGTAACACTCTATATTTGCCTCAAGTTGGTGTTTAAACTGATCTAATCAGTGTTGCTGACCCATGATTATTCGTATTAAGCCCTTGTTACATGTTTTGTCACATCTGTGTTATGTATTTTGCAGTATCAGGTGTCGTTATGTCCAGGAAACAGGACAGTGAAGCATCAATTTTGCTAAATTTTATGTCATTTTATTCCCTGTTATGTTTTATCTTTGTCAGGTTGCAACACTAACCACATCGAAGTGCATCGAATGGATGGGAGGGGTCGGCTTCACTAAAGACTACCCCATAGAGAAATACTACAGAGACTGTAAAATTGGTGAGTATAACTGGACCAATCTGAACCTGTTGATGCATATTGACTTGTGTTTGCAGACTGCTTGTGAAGTAGTTGTTTAGAGTGGAGTTGTGTAACTGCGACTAAAGGCACAAGGTGGAAAGGACACAAATCACGAGGGCTGTGGGGGGGTCAGGTGTAGCTGCCTGTGATTGGACCAGGGTGAGGCGGAGAAGGAGGCAGCGGCTGTAATGGGACTCTGTTGGAATTCCCCCTCTCAGAGTGTCGTTATACAAACACAGTGCCAAGGAAACTACCAGAGCAACATGTCCCTTTTCCTCTCATCACTTCCATGTCGGCGATTCTCCAGCTGGAGCTCTGGCAGAGTCCTTAGTCATGATAGTGAAAGCTGTAGATCTGTTCTCTGTGCAGTTGTAACATAACAGATCTTCTTTGTTTCTGCAGTGATTTTACTCTACTCCTTTGTCTTGTGCTCATTTCGCAGGCACCATTTATGAGGGCACGACGAATGTTCAGCTTTCCAGTATAGCCAAGTTCATCGATAAGGAGTACGACCACTAAACACTTCCATCGGGAACGAGAACAAATGCACTCTGCTGCTTTACACTCCATATCTTTTTTTAAATATGACTTTGGTGGGGTTATTGCAGCAGCTGTGAAACGCTGTACCACTGCTTTCATAGAGTTTCTTACAGTTACAACCTGTACACTTGTAAAGTAGATCCCACTACTGCTGTTACTGATGAAGTTATAGTTCTCCTGCTTTGGGGTTGAACTTTTAATGTTCCACTTGCCTTCTGTCATTTATTAGTTTTTAAATATGACAGTGTTCTTCAATTGTACATCTCTACAACTTTCCTCTTGGCCTCATTTTTCTTCTGTTTACTGAGATGTCATGATCAATGATTTCAGAATGACTATCTGTGTGTAGCAATATGAGAATAGATAAAGATATTATTTTGGAATTTAATATTTCAGTGCTTTCAGGAGGTTGGCTATGACTCACATCAGACATCACAGTGCATTGTTTTTGCAGGATACTGCAATGTAACACTTTCATGCTTCGTAAATACTGTTCAGTTCTTTGCTGTGAAAATAAGACAAGGAATCAAGTGTAAAGAGTGATCTATCAAAATCAATAAATTTGTAATATGCTGTGAATCATTGTTTCTGTTGTCACTGATGCCCGTTTGCAGAGTAGTATCGAGATCTGCCACTAGATGGAAGCATTCTCCAGAGTGACTGCAGCAGCCTGAGCTGGAGAGGCTTCTCACTGCAGGAGCAGTAAATTATCATGTCTCATAACAGCCTGTCACCTCTAATGATATTTTATACCAATTTAATTACACTGGTGCTTCAGATGAAAAGAGCCCGCCTGCCTCGTGTAATTGCTTCACTGATAATTTTTCAGGTGAGATTGATCACATTTGGCCTCCGAGCTGTGTAAAATGAGGCCTATTGTTTTACACCAAACAGGGAAGTCGTGTCCACATGTATTGGGCCATTGACAGCTCTTACACATGACCCCTTATAGAAAAATGTGCATGTTACATACTGGGTATCTGTTTAACAACAAGGAACAATTACTACCATGAGTTATTCATGAACACAGATGTTAAAAGTCTTAATGCTGCAATAACAGAGATCAGCAGTGGCCACATTTAGATTTCAGAAAGAAATATATACAGACATCCATTATTTGTGTATCTGTATTATCATCTTTATTTAATTTATGATAAGAATTATACTGATTAAACTGTCAAAGCTTTTATTTTATTGGTGTCCTGAAAACCTTGAATTTAACATATACTGTGAGAAAAAAATAAAACTATAAACAAGAGACACATTTACTCTAGTGTATTATTTTGACAAAGAATTCTTCATTCTTCTCATGTTTTATTGATCATCTCACATCCTGATTGTGTTACTGAATAACGATGACATCTCTATCCTGATCATGGAAGAAGGAATCGCTTAAGCTTTGGTGTCATGATCACAAATAATAAAATATTAAATTTCTTCTGGTTACACCTGTAGCTTTGTTATATGATAATATTGTGTGGAAATATGGTGATAAACTTCTACTTATAAATGATATCAGTGTTTTCTCATCACTCTGAGGTTGGGTGGACAGATATTATTGAATATATTTAATAACATCAGGTCCATGTTTGCTGACAAAGCAGTGAAGTGGAAACAGAGGCCTGCGTTAGCATCACTGATTGAGTGTGTCCTCCGTTTTCCCCTCTGACCCACTCCGACTTGTTCTGTGTGTGGAACGAGCCCCAGTTTAATAAACCTAATCTGGTGAAAACACAGCTATCCTGCTTTTCACATGGAGTTGGCAAACGCAGCTCAAGCAGCCTCTTTCTCCGCCCCCATCTTTAACACAGCCATGAGACCTCTAATTATGCAGGGATTCAAGTAGCTTTCCACAAAACACAGTGTTGTCCTTTAGAGCTGGAGAGCTGCTCCACAAGCTGAAAGGACAGGCTGCATGTTTGCAGGTTGTGCAAATTCAATTTGTGTGATTAGCTCACCGCATCTGCTTCAGGTTTGGTCTAAATCATAAATCCTGAATGCTCTCTGGGTTCATTTCTTTTGTCATATGTCAAAATTTCTGAGGCAACTATCCCCTCAAATTATACTAAATATGTGTCCAAAAAATAGGTGCCTTTATATCACTGTCTTGACAGACATCCTTTCTGTATAGATAAGGTTTTTATCAGTGACATTTTTAGATTTAAAAGCATCTTACACCCTCTGCATGTTGCATTCTCAATATATTATTGCACTTTATCTCAATCTGAAAGCAGAAACAATACAGAGGATGCCCACTGCTCATTTTCTACTAAATTATCATCTAATCTGATCACATACAATCTGCTGCAGCCGAACACCAGTCAGTGTTGTTATAATCTGTGACAGAGACAAGACTTGCTGTTTCATTGCATTACACCACCTGCTGCCTCTGTGCGTCTGCAGCCTTTTGTACCAAAGCTGATTTGAAAAGCCTTTATCACAATGGTATAAACATTCAATTTGATGTCCGCCTGTAGCACTTCCTGGCTAATAAAATTACACTGAAGTCAATGAGCTCCGGTGCAGGTGAAGTGCACGGTGCATATTGCTTTCCCGTTGCACAGAGATGGAACAGAGGGATGCTTGAGGTGCAGCAGATGGATGTGAGGTTGAAAAAAAATATTGGATCGAAAAATTCTAATAAGTTAATTATTTTGTTGGTAAATAAAAATAAAATACTTATTAAGWGGAATGTTCCTAATTTTTAAAAAAAATAATTAAATTTGTCTTTTAAATATTTTGGTGGCTTTCATGATGCGTAAAATCTATGCGTAATTTGCGTACTACTTGTGCCAAGACCAAGCTAAAGTGTGAAGATCTCTGGACCATTGATTGAATTTCCTGACCGGTGATGGTGCTGCACCCCCCTTAAAACATTGAGACATTTTACTCTTTCATCTAATTGGATGATAAGTGTGCGCCTACACTGTTGAGCCCAGAGCCAAAACGCTTGCGCGCGGCCTTTCTCTTCTGAGTCTATTCTCGTCACAGCCCCCCGAGGTTTCATCTCAAATCCCATTTGCTATTTTACCTGCCCAATAGCAGAGACCGAGCGCGTTTTAACTTGGTCGGCATTTTTTTCATTTCATCATTCCATCCATCCAGCGGATGTTTGACGCAGTGATCCCTGCGCTCTCGCTCCGATCATCCTCGGGAGGTGGACGCACGCAGCTTGGTGCGACTTTTCCTCTTTTTATCTTCTTCTCTTACATCATTTTATCCACGAAGATCTTTTTGTAAGGTGTTTCTACCCCCCGGTAAGTTTGTTTTTGATGGTGATCCACATCGGACAGTAAAACGGTGATGGCAGACTCTGATGCGCAGGAGACTCGCCAACCCGCAAAAGACTCTCCCTTCTCCATAAAGAACCTGCTGAACATCGAGGACAAACCCGCGAAGCAGAAGAGCTTCCTGGGCTCGTCCAGAGGAGTGTTTGAGGGAAGCTTCTTCTCTCGGCTCGGTGAATTATCTTTCCCTCGGTTTGAGCTGCCCACGGCACAGAGGATTGGACTCTCGGGGCAGTATCTGGACAGAGCGTCTACCTGGTGGTACCCGTACACGCTTGGGGCTCATCTGAGGACCGGAGGTGAATATTTTTTAATCTGCATATGAGGAAATTGCAGCTTTTTGATCTGAAAAAAATCCCGAGTAATTTTAATGCAAATGGCCTTTTTGGATATTTCATTTCATGGAGACTGAATTGCTCTCAGAATGATTCTTAATTATAAGGAGCCATGTCCACAAATCCTTGATTAAATATCGATATTTTAAAACGCATGTTTCTGAATATTCATTGAATGATATACACGTGTTTGCCACTGTAGGACCATGTTTGAAATTATGTTTATTCTGCAGGGTCTGAGAAGGCAAACCCGAGGGATGCATCACCGGCACCGGACAGGCGCTCCCCGGACCTCCAGAAAAGTGACCTGCAGGATGTCAAAGAGGAGAGCGCCGACGACGAGGTCACGCTGGACGAGAGCGACGCGGAGGAACCGAAGAGAGAGCTGGACCCGGAGGACGACTGGAGGAAAAAGACAGACGAGCTGGACGCCGACAAGAAGCCGTGTCGGAAGAAGAAGACGCGCACTGTGTTCTCCCGGAGCCAGGTGTTCCAGCTGGAGTCCACCTTCGACATCAAGCGCTACCTGAGCAGCTCGGAGCGCGCAGGCCTGGCCGCGTCCCTGCACCTGACGGAGACGCAGGTGAAGATCTGGTTCCAGAATCGGAGGAATAAGTGGAAGAGGCAGCTGGCTGCGGAGCTGGAGGCGGCCAACCTGAGCCATGCGGCGGCGCAAAGGATTGTGCGGGTTCCCATACTGTACCACGAGCACGGGGCCCCAGAGTCGACCGGGGGGCCCTCTGCAAACTCACCGGGTAACCAGTCGATGCTGGCTTTTCCCCACCACATGTACTATTCCCACCCGGTGCCACTGCTGAGGCCTGTTTAACACTGACTGTGTCATTCAGCTGTAAATATGTTTTTAAACGAGAGTGAGATTCAGTGAAAAAACAACAACATTTTGTATATTTTGTAGATTAATCGTACACGTTAGTTCATATTATTGTTATTATTAATATTATTATTATTATTAATATTATTTGTCATTTTATCCAGCTGAGGTGTAAGCAAGACACAAATTCCTTATCACAGCCCCCACTCAAAAATTATAATTATTAACTGATTATTATTGTTGTTATTATTTTAAGTGAAATCATTACGTTTTTTTTAAGTGGCTGCTGTTCCCGTAGGAAAAAAGAACTTGCTTTAAACAGGGTTTACTGTCCATATGTATTTTACAAAGATTTGTGTCAGTGTTCGTACAAAACATGTGGAATTTAATATTTTTGGCATTTTCTAACATTGTGCAATATTTCTGGCTTCCCATTAGACTACCTATAGTTATACTTTTGCAGGAAAAACAAATATAATTTTCTCTTTGTCATGTAATAGTGAGGACAATCATGTGATCCTTGACAAAATAACCATAAAAGCTGCAGGTGATGTCATTGTTTTTAAGGATGCTATGTTTTGCCGGTGATTTTAAAGCCATGAAAGAGCCAAAAAATCCTCTGTTTTTCGTGTATGTTTTTCCTCTGATATTGTTATTGAAATTCTGTATATTATATGGTCTTACACTCAGTAAAGATTTCGTTCCAAAAAGAAATATGTATAAGAGTGATGTACATGAGGGAAAAGAAAAAAATGTTGGTTTAAATATTTGTGAGAATGGAGCGATGTGTTATCCATCAAATGTCTATTTTTCAAATATCTATGGCACGGTGCAGGTATTCGTGAGATAAAAAAAGTAATCATCACAACTTAAATAATGTTGAAGTTAAATAATGATGGTCATCTATTTTTAATTTGTGAATTTTGGAATTCAATTAGATACAATTTCAAAGATTTTTTCTAGAAATGTGTTTCTTCATTGAATATTTGATTCAGACACACAAACACATGGTCCGTTGCTGTGTTGATCTGCTGCGTATACAGATATGTGCTTTCTTTAAGAATCAATAATCATGATAAAAACAAAAGGCTGTGATGATGATTACAACTTATAGGCTGTAGATGAAAGTGGCTAAATGGGAATTAAAAAGCAAAAAATAAATTACAAAGCTAATTTCCCATTAACATAATCACATTGGGCTTTTGTTTTGCATCTGAGAAGAGGACTGCATTATAGAGTGAAGCACTTTTTAACTGTGGGTTTTAAAAAGTA